GAACGTGAATAGGAAGTCATATACTGGCAATCTAAGTGTGACCTTGAAATTGACCTTTGACCTACTTATTATCATGAACTGAACTCTGCTAATTTCTTTCTCTTTTAACTCCAAACCTGGCAGAGATAGGCCCATAGTTACTATTGAAGTTGAATAGGAAGTCATATACTGGCAATTTACTGTGACCTTGGAATTGACCTTTGACCTACCTTGCGATGAACTTAACTTTGATTGTACCATTTTTAGTAATATATATATTTTTTGCATATTTTGAAAATTCTTGTTGATTGCATTTTTACAGCTTGTCAAGCACAAGACTGGTGGCTGTGTTCCTTATTTTGTATATGTGGGGGTCTATATGAATGCGCTTGCTCCCGCTGGTGGTACAATATTCGGAGGCGGTATCGCCTCTCTGATCCTCTAGTTTTAATATAGATTAAATAGATATATGCTTGTGGACCTAAGTCAAGAGCATAGTTTCTGTTATCTGAGACCCTATGCTACAAACAGTGCTTATGTTATAGGTTATGGATTGAATTTGAAGGAGAGGTTGGTTTGGACTATGGTGGTGTGGCCAGGGAGTGGTTCTTCTTGTTATCGAAAGAGATGTTTAATCCTTACTATGGTCTTTTTGAATATTCAGCAGCGTAAGTAATTTGAAGAAAGCTTTACTAATGATTTTTATTATTACATTTTATAATGGGTATGAATTATAAAGATACCTCCCCATAACAATTTTGAAACTGGGGTTCACATGTTTGGATTTTAAGGGTGACACGAAATGATAAATATCACAAAGAAAATGTATTATCAGTCTATGATATTGATCAAATTTATAATTTATTTTTTGTATACTGATTTTATTATTTTGATAATAATATACTTATTTTTATGTTTATACTTATACTTTTTTTTAAATTTATTTTTATTTTTATTTTTTTGCTACCAGGGTAACATATTTGATTTTTTTCAGAGACAATTATACACTCCAGATTAATCCTCTCTCAGGACTTGCCAATGAAGAACATCTCTCTTATTTTAAATTTATTGGAAGAATAGCTGGAATGGCTGTGTTCCATGGCAAATTGCTAGATGGTATGGCATAAAAACTTTTAGAAATAGAAATTGTCATAGAGAATGACTTCATTGAATGGTATTGGATACTTAATTTACAAAAGATTTTGAAAAATTTTCCACTTGCAGCTGCCTTTTGACTTTGTTGTGGTGACAAGAGTTTATAATTTCAAATTTTAATTTTCTTTTTAGCATTTTTCATTCGACCTTTTTACAAGATGATGTTAGGAAGAGCAATCACATTGCATGACATGGAATCAGTTGTAAGTACATCATACCAAGTACTTCATACAGTTCAAGTTGATTAGAAATAAACTGTTGTTGAAGTGCATATTTTCTTTTGTTTTGAATGTTTCAACCATCAGACAACCAACATTTTGAAATTTTACTGAATTTTAGGATTCTGAATATTATAATTCCTTGAAGTGGATTTTAGAAAATGATCCAATTGACCTTGAATTGACCTTCATGGTGGATGAAGAACAGTTTGGAGAGGTAAGCTTGTTTCTGATGGACATGTATAACAATTTTTTTTAGTATAATGCATATTTAACATGATGCTTTGAAGTTCAGGTTTTATTGAATTACCCAACAATCCTGCTATAAATATTTGAAGGTAATATTTTGTTTGTAAGTTTTTGGTTGATTTTTTACAACCCAGGTACAAATAACATGAGACTCCTCTTTTGGAATTGAAACATTTGGTAATTTTCCAGTTAGATTTTTATTTAAAGGTACACTTCATCGGTTTGGGAGTCCCCAAATTGCTCTTTGTAGTGTTAATAAATTTTTGTATATTATCTAGAAAATCGAGAGGGAATTAAGACCAGGTGGAAAAGACCTCCAAGTCAATGACGACAATAAAAAAGAATATATAGAGTAAGTTTATGCACTGTTCTTCTGTTTTAGTATTTAATCCTTTTATATGAATTAGGAGATGTATTATTTGTTAAAACATGACAAATAAATAAATGAATAAAATGCATGTTACAAATTATTGGTATAATTCATGGTATTGTCTTGTTTTCCAGCCTTGTTATTAAATGGAGATTTGTTTCAAGAGTGAGAAAACAAATGAATTCATTTATGGAGGGATTTAATGAACTTGTTCCACAGAATCTTCTAGCAATTTTTGATGAGAACGAAGTGGAGGTAGGTGGTTTAAGCTATTATCCCAGCCTTTAAGAATGTACATAAATATTAAGTCAATCATTTAAATTAAAAAAATAAAAAAAGAATGTTAACATAATTGGTCTGAGATCCATACATACGAAGGGTTAAGACAGTTTTCCTCTAATGCTATATCACCTTTTGCATTTTGCCAACCTGATAGCACAAAATCAGTGTTATAGAGCTTTATATAGGGTTGCAAAAAAAAAAAAAAAGAAAAAAAGTTAATGGATGCCATAATGCAACAGCTGGTGATGTTGAATTGTCAACTCATGATGATAGTGTGTAGGACGTTAAAAGGTCTTTACGTCTCCTCATTAACCCAAGTGAAAGTATAAGTAAAGGACAAACAAATATGGTGTTCGAAATTTGGCTGGTGATGGCCGCTTTAATTGAAAGGTCCCTCTAGTAAAAGAATAGTGTAAAATTATTGTATAGCTTTAAATGATGTTGAGTAGCTTAAAATTATGTAATGTTAGCATTAATAATAAATATCCAAACAAATAGTGCACATATTTTCATTTGTGGGGTTGCAAATGGGCCATGGCAGTGGCCAACTTGTCATTCTTGCACCAAAAGAGTCATGTGTATTTATTGATATGCAAATCCAAATATGTACTTCAAGATCATCTAATTAATCTTTAAAGAGTAAAGAACTTCTATACGAAAAAGGTATTTGTAAGGAAATTTTACAGCAACTGACTTCAGCTAGCTAGGCTAGTCCCCTCTCTGCTATATAGTTAAAACTCCACTAATTCATGTTTGATTTTCACCTATTGAACTATAATTGAAAGTAACCAACATAAACGTAGGATTCTTTTCCCTGAAGCTGAAAAAATTAAAGTATAAATACTTCAAATTTCATTTCTCTTTTATGATAGTTTATGATTTTTTTCTTTGCTTTTTAGTTGTTGATGTGTGGTCTACAGGATGTGGATGTCAATGATTGGAAAGCCAACACCAACTACAGAGGGGAGTACAACTCCAACCACCCTGTGATTGTTAACTTTTGGAAGGTAGGGAAGTGCATGTTTATGTTATGTCTTTTGTTTTTAATTTCAATAGTATTTTGCAGAGTATAGTATAGTATATTTTTGTGCAGTGCATCAGTGATTGAGACACTCATTATTAATGAGTTGTTGTTTGAATAATGTATTTTTAATATGCCCACTATTTTTATTTGAAATAAAATAGCTTTGTAATATAACTTTGAAAGTGTTTTGTTTATTTCTGCAGGCTATTTACTCCTTCAACAATGAAATGAGATCCAGACTGCTACAGTTTGTGACTGGAACATCCAGAGTGCCTATGAATGGCTTCAAGGAGCTGTATGGAAGCAATGGACCTCAACTTTTTACAATAGAGAAATGGGGTGCTTCAAAACAATTGCCAAGGGCACATACCTGGTGAGTATTTTCATACTTGTTGTGTCATAGACATAATTGATAGGTTATAATTAGGCCAAATTGTTTATAAAAACATTTTGTTCATTTTGTGTGCTTTTGGTGTATGGACAAAGAGGACACTGAAGTGCAGCTCGAGTTGGAAAACTAGTCTGACTGCTTTCTCTTCTGGAAGCAAGGCACTTTTTATGAAATTTTCATTTTTCACATATTGGCTTTTCAGTGTGGGACTTAGAATTCCCATGGGTATGAAACGCAATGGGAATCAAAATATTTTAAATGTCCGTGATATGTATTGTAGATAATCAAAAATTGGTGTGATGATGCTGTTAATTGTAATATTGCATTAAATCAACAAAAACACTTTTTTGTGCACTGCCACCACAAACATTATGAAAAGAAAACTCTGTAACTTCTTACTTTGTAACTTACAAAAATTATTCTTAGGATTGAAAACCAGCTTGATTGCATTATCATTTTTTCTTGAATTTAAGCAATTTTTTGTCAAATTTTCATTTTTCTCATTCTGGCATTTTTAAATTGTAAACTTGAACTCTTGTGCACCTGACTCCTTATGCTAGTTACACATTTTGCTTACATCCATTTTACCTGTTATGAATAATTAAAATTTGGTATGACTTTGCTGTTAAGCATATAATAATATAATATTGCATCGGAATTGACAGTAGCCTGTTTTGTGCATCATTATTTTCTGCTTTTTGTGTGTACATTTGACAGTTTTACTGCCTTGTTTTTCATCCTTTGTGATAGTTGAAAAACAAAACAAAAATTAGATTTAAATGCACATTTAAATGATACAGTGATCCATATTTGCTTCAGTTTCAACCGACTAGATTTGCCACCATACGAAAGTTATGAGGAGCTTCGTAAGAAACTTGTTGTTGCAGTAGAAAATGCAGCTGGATTTGAAGGAGTTGATTAGAGTGAGAGGTGATCTGTATGATGCTGTAAGTCACTGTACAGAATAAATCAAAATATAAAATGTTGGACATTTGGTATGAAATTGACTTTTGAAGCAGCCAATGATTGTTTTTATAACTCTGTACATAAAGACCAGTGCAAAACATTGCTCTCTTCCATATCCTGTTTTATATAAAATTGCATTGAACTTGTCTACAATAAATGTTGATCATGTCTTCATATAGTACTAGAATTAAGTTGATGTATTACATTTTTAATTTAAGCATTAACTGTAGTGAATCATTACTCAGCAGGGGTGGATTATTCTGAAGTCTGAACTTCAAGCATCTGTTAGACATATTATTTACTTCAACCATCTTCAGGATGGACGTTCTGCTCCAAATTCAAAACATACTGTGATACCTCCATCTAAAAAAGCTTGTTGAGTCTCTTTTTATGGATGCACTTTATCAGCATCCAGCATTTTTATTTACAAACTGCATAAAAAACACAAGCTTATTAAATTTGTTTGCTGTCATAAATATTTATTTAGGTTTTTTACATCATAACTTCACTTCTCTTTTGTTTTACTTTTAATCAAGAGTCAGATTTTATCCCAGGCATGAGGTGAACTATAGGTTTTTAAAACTAATTTCACTTCTCTTTTGTTTTACTTTTAACCAAGAGTCAGGTTTTATCCCAGGCACAAGTTGAACTAATGAACTGAAATAAGATCAAGCATTACTTTAGGCAACATTCAGTTTCTATGTTTATTAGAGTGAAAGGAACCCAGTCTCATCACAAGTACTATTTTTATGCCCAAAAAGTTATTTACTCATTTTGTCAAATGAAAGTGTAGGTACAGATGTTGAAAGTTAATAAAAAGTAGCTCATGGTTGTGTACTTAAACCAACTTATCAAGTGACCCAAGTAGTTAGATTTTGGGTTTTTGACTCTATTTGCAAGGGAGAGTAAAAATTGTGCCTATTCTATTATAGAACAACAGAAAAGTTATCATGTAGAGTTACACCCTGTACCAAAGTCTTATTGCTCAGAATTGTTTTAACAGTGACATGATAGTTTAATTCTAACTACTATGAAAAATCCATACCATCAAATTTTGCTTGGCATTCATTATCACTTATAACATCAATTTGGTTGTATTAATTTTAAATGTTTAGAAATAATTTTTAATCATGCCTCTGTAAAGTTGTCAAATTGGCTCTTTTTTGTCTTGCCCAATTTTGTTTTGAAATTGTCAATTTGGCATATGCTTTTCAACAGCTTAAGCACTTTCTTTCTTCTTGACAGATGTTTTTGTGGTTTTATTTTGTCATGTTGCTTTTTATCGTTAAATAATGTTATCTTGGACAATTATGATGCTGCATTTAGTCACACAAAACATGAAATGTTTTATTATAAGGTCTCTATTCTTATAAAATTTTGATTTTGATGAGTTCATACATTAAATGATTAAATGGCATGAGAGAATGGATTAACTTGCCTATAAGAGCACATTTTGATAACTGTTAGACCTTCCTTAGAAACACTAGTCTTTGTATTGCATGGGCTAGCTTGATAATTTTAAAATATTTTTACCACTAAATTTGTACATTTTGTATATAGTCGCCAATTGTCATCCCAGAATGTGATAATTTAATATTCATTTTATCATAGTTTATGTTCTAAAGTAAAATTCATTTATACCTTTGACAGCAAGATATAGTTTTATGTAAAAGTAGCTTACTGAAAGTTTCTTTTTATTAAAATCTTTTATTTATTTATTTTTTAGAAGTATTGATGAAATCTGACAATAGGGATAGATAGGTTGATGTGTTTGATGGTTACTTTATGTGAAACCTTGCTTTTAAACCTACCAGGTGCAATTGAATTGTAGACACTCCATTGTCTTATTTGGATATTTTAAGCACATAATCTTTACATGGGGTTATAATAAATTGTCTTTGTACAAAAGGAATAAATAAATAAAATGAAATAAAGTGCTATTATGTTGATATCTTTTTGTTATTGTGAACTAGTGGTCATCATCTTGGCCACCTATCTAACCTAGCATGTTTGCAGCAGAGCAAGAATGTAGAGAGTAATCATATTACTGCTTTGATATATGCTATAATTGGCATTTTATTCAGTGCCCGAGATGTGTTGCAATGGTTGCCTTAGGAATTCTGGCAAACCTAAAGCCCTATGCTATTTATATATTTTAAATATCCACGATACAAGTAGAAAAATGGGTGGTGATTATGCCTTTAAACACTGTGTAGGATTGCAACAAAACTGACAAACTATTTTGTGCAGACCAAAAATGTTCATTAATTTGGTAGTTGGATCATAAATGAAAATTATCAAACACAAGCCAAAAAACTTTCATACCGTTAGCTTACGGCCAACCTGGACGTAGGCCTTCATCAGACTGATGTGAGCAGATGTTGACACTCACTGACTGCTAGAGCGACCAGGACCCTCTTAAAAATGTCAGGTAGATCTAAGGACTGAGAATAAAGTGAAGGATATATGGGACTGCTTCTCACACACCTCCCCACGCATTGTCCCTGCATTGGCACAGTAATTAAATCTCGGCTCCATATGACTGGACGCGTGGGGAGGCATGGTAGAGGCGGAGAGACCATTACATGATTAAGTGGTCTTCCTTTCATGTAGGGTCTGCCATATTTGATCCTTGAACCAGTTGATACTTGGATATTTTTTTCAGGATGGTCCCTTAAACAAGATCCCAGCCTCATGGAATGTACTCATCTGTCAGTAGAGGATATCACAGAGCTATTAGAAATTGTATGGAACACCATATACTTTATCTGTAAGGGGGTATTCCATAAGCAGAAACATGGAGCGGCCATTGGCAGTCCAATCAGTCCTAATGTGGCCAATCTGTTTATGGAGAACTTTGAGGAAGCCGCACTGGTGTCTATGCCCAATCCTTCACGTCTTTGGTTGAGATATGTAAATGACATGTTTACCATCTGCCACAGGGACCACATAACTGCTATCACTGACTTCATCAACACTAACAGCCAAGACCCTTACATAAAGTTCACTAGAGAGCTGGAGGAAAACAATCCTATTGCTTTCCTGGACTCATTAATTATACGTGAGAGCGATGGCCATCTGAGTCTGAAAGTCTGCAGGAAGGCCACACATACCAACCAATACTTAAACTTCCAGTTGCACCACCTGCTACATCAAAAACTAGGGGTTGTAAGAACTTTAAAACACTGGTGCAACACGATCATGACTAATGAGGAAGATAAGACATTGGATGAGGCTCTCATGATGTGTGGTTACAATCTGTATTTGTGGTTACAAATATGGGGCGAGTATGGGCGAGTTATGGAAATGAGACACTTGCGCTTGATCGCAATGTGCGATGCTTTTGAAATACGGGGCCCAGGGTTAGTGAACACAAAATCAGTGACTGTAGGCAATACCAGCTCTGCCATTCATGAACGTGTAATAGATACCGGCCACAGTATCGCCTGGAATTCTACTAAGATCCTTGAATCCGAGTCATCTGCAGTCGGAAGTCAGAAGATACGAGAGGCTATCCACATCAGCCATCACCAGCCACCCATGAATGGGGGGGGGGGGGTCCATCTACCTGACATTTATAAGAGGGTCCTGACACTATACCGTCTAGTGGTCAGTATCAACGTCTGCTCACATCAGTCTGATGAAGGCCTACATCCAGGTTGGTAATGGTTGTAAGCTAATGGCACAAAAGTTTTTTGGGTTATCTTTGATAATTTTCATTTATGATATTTAGTGAAGCTCAAACACCGTTATCTGCTATGTACATTTGACAGCTTTGCTGCCTTGTAATTTCAATATTTAATTTTTTCCGTATTTATACTTGTAAATGATCAGAACACAAGGAACATACATTTGACTTACTGTTGTATGCAATCAGGAGAGGAATGTGAAAGTCAGGAAAAGGCAGAATGTGAATCAAGATGATTACTTAAAAAGCCCTTTCCTCAAACTAAACCAGGACATTCTCCCTCTCAAAAATAAAGCCAGCAATCTTAAGGAACTTATAGACATTTCGGGAGAGGGGAAATTATGTAAAAGCAATTTTTTGTCTTCAGGTTGCATATTTGGGTACAAATGATCTACTGTGGGGTTTCTAAAGAATTTTGGAAAAATTCCTCAAATTCACTGATAATAAATGAAAAGTAAATACAATATGAAATAGTCATTTTATTTGAAACACTATATATATATATAGATATATATTTATAAGACCAATATGACCAAACTGGTGTGACCAGAACCACAATTTTAAGGGGCTAAAACAGTTTCATCAAATATTATAGCAGATTCTGTATACTAGACGGCTATATCTCCTAAATATTGACAGGCTCCAGAATCCAACATTTGAAATAACAAAAACGCTAACATTTTCATTGTTGTAGCATGAAATAAATCATGGGCTTCTTGTTCAAGCCAAGTTCTAAAAATATTCATACAAATCCCCATTTTCCACTACTTTTATTCAGATACTTTGGTAAAGAGGTACAAAATATGTGAACTACAAATAAATTACAGAAAGGTTGAGACAAAAAGATTAGCACAAATTTGCTTTTTCACTGGCTTCATAATAAATAGTGCATGGTTCAAAGCAGTTTTTTCTGTACAATCCTGACTACAGGTGGTGTCTCAAAGATGGGCAAGACTGTGCAAGTTTTTTATGTTTGCTTCACTGAAGATAATTAATGCAACCTTTTCCATGTGAACCAGCTGCATATCCAGGTTTGTAACTACAGTTGTCTGTGACCTTAGCAAACATAATTTGGGTCAAGTAAATTACAAAATGGTTTCATATCAGAACAGACAAAATGGGTAATATGTAAAGCTGACCTTTAGCTGAAGGATCACTTTAACAGATCCATTTCACCTGCGGCCTTAACATAATCACCTTCTTATACAAAACGTTGTAGATTGTACAGACAATAGCAGCACTTTTTAGTATAAATTTTTCCAAGACTTTCATGGTTAGCATCAAGTTTCAAGACTTAATATAACAATATGAAACAATACCCTGTCCAAATGAATAAAAAAAAATGTTAAGTCAAAATTTGGCAGCTGAAAATTTTTATTAGCTCATGTAAGCTATTTACTTGAAGTAAAAAATATGCCTTATATATTGCTCTACCTATTCAGGTTTTGTCTTTCTTCTTAATATTAAGAGACAATAAATAAAACAGGACCACAATGGCTTTCTTTCATCAGGCATATCATATTCAGCAGTTATATAGAAACAGAGATGAACATATTCTAGTAATGTGACAAGGTTAGACCTTGACCTGGTACTAAAAAATGAAAAGGAACAAAAGCTCAAGTCCACAATTTTGATTACAAATAACACTAACTGTTTCTTCGAACTCTATGCATCAGAAAACTTGGGTATAATATAAATGTTCTACTGGGCTCATGCAACATAAGTCTTTCTCATATGTACATAATTATCTACACTTCAACCTGGAAAGATCCTATATCCACAAATTCCATTTATTTTTGTTTCTAATAATTTAGCTCTTCCATAGTACAGTTGACTGTGGAAGCCCTCCACGAGGGATCATGTCCAGTAGATACTGGCGCTGCAAATCTGAGGGTTTTGCATTGAAAGGTAACTGGTAAGGGTTGAAGGGCATCCTGGGGTTGTAGGACTGGAACCCAAGCTGAGAACTGCGCAGCTGCGATGCTGCTGCCGCCTGGTGTGCTTGGATCATGTTGGGATGCTGACGAAGGGGATCAGGACTAGGTTTGTAACTGGTGGCAGCAGCAGTAACTGATGATGTTGTCGTTGATGGCGAGGAACTGGAGTTGTTGGAGTGCTGCTGCGAGGACTGCATACGCTGTTCTATCTCCTGTTCTTGTTGAAGAGCCTTAACAAAAGCACTTTTTAGTCTATTTGTATGTTCCTGTTTCAGTGCCTTCTTCTGATTGGAGGTAACACACTGTTCGCATATTACATTCTTTGACCCTGGCTTGTCACGCTTCCATACAGGAGTGAAGTCAGTTTTACACTGCACACAAGTAAATGGATTGAAGACATACTTAACATCAGTCGACTTTCCTTTATCAGCATCTAAAATATGTTTAACAACCTCTTCTAAACCCACAAGCCAAATGAAATCTCCAGTAGCAAGACTTGGTATAAAATTCATTTCTGGGGGAGGGGGTTTTGGAGGCGGAATTTGCAATAATGTTTTTTCCAACTGTTTACGCAGTGCTAATTTGGCTGCTGCCTGCCGTTGCTCTGGAGTGATGTTCTCTTGCTGTGCCTGCTGCTGGGCCTGAACACTGCGACTGGACACCTGTGACGGAGGTTGGTTTGGCCGATACCCTGGGATAACATTGGGTGGAGTGGTGCCAGGGAGATTCCTCATCCCCTGAGGTAAGGAACCATTTCTCATCCCTGGGGCCATGACTAGGGGTGGGGGGCCCTGTGCACCAGAAGAAGCATGCTGACCTCTAGCCATGTGGGCTGGCAACTGTTGGGGTCGAGAGTTGGTGTTCTGGCCACCTCTGATAAGTGGGGGTGGAGCATTGGTGTTTGGGTGCCTAGATTTCCCTGGGACCACACCAGATGGATCTGTAACTGGATTTATAGTCTGGCTCTGGCGGATTTTCTTTAGCAAAACTGCAAAATAAAACGAACCATTAGTTTCCAGGTATATTAATAATAGCATCAAAAATATAGGACTAGATTTCTTATTTCATTCTCTTCAAGAAGGGCATGATGAGCCCTGACCACACTGGGGCCTATCATCCTGATGAATGGTGCAGTGGGGCATCAACCAAACTTCTGAAAAGATGTAAAAACAAGGATTGGATGGTGAAAATTCTGGTAAACGAATATCTGTGTAGAAACATGCCCCCTTAAAATATCTTACTTCTGGTTCAGTGTATAATCCTAAATCATAATTGGTCTTTGTCATTCAAACTTTAGACTCATATCTGATATAATACCATCTTTGGCAATTTTAAGCCTATTGCAAAAGCCTTCCAGCCTCTGTCTTACACGAACAGTGATCCACCTTATGTGGGCCCATTATTTCTCTTTTTGGTTTAACAGAAAAGATAAAAATTAAACAAAGAAGAACAAGGGTTTTGTTGGCATGGTTTTCCAATATTCTGCTGTTGTGCTCAGACAGCCGCTTCCAGAATACCTGTAGAGATGATGCAACATTTTGTAGGGAATTAGCATGCCTCACTACTTTCAAAGAAGTCAGTTTAATCATATAGCATAATGATTAAATTAACATAAATTAATCTGGAGAGGAGGAAATTTGAAGAGCTGCATTATGTTTTACCTTGCTAAAACTCTATCCTTAACTTTCTGTAATGAATCAGATAAGTGTTCCTAATCTTGAATATATTAAATAAAAATAAAAATCAAATGGAAATCTTGACTAAAAATTACCTAGTTTTGTTTCCTCATTGCGCAGCTCCTCCTGCAGCCTGTGAATAATCTTATCTCTCTTCATGACTTCTTCCGGAGTGAGATCTCTGACATCACCATTCACTTTGCGAGGAGGGAGTTCCTCACTGTCATCATCAGACAACATGATTATGTCTGGTGATGAATCCCTTGAGGCATTCTTATTTGTGCTCAAATCAATTGGTCCATTTTCATTCGGATCAGCACTTGTGTTAACACATTCCTTTACATCACCATTCATTTTTGTTGTATCCACTGAGTTACTGTTGGGACGTTGATGCTTTTCTGACTGAGAGAGAGACTCATTTTGACTAGCATCTTTTCTTACAGCAGCATGCAACCCATCAGTATTGCTATTAGAATTGCTAGTGTCTGGGCCATCTGTTGTCAGTCGTGAATAATTGTCATCTTGGTCCTGTGCCACACTTTCGTCTGATCCTTCAACTAAATCAGCATCCTCTCTTTTCCCTTCAGCTAAACTATCATCTGAGTTTTCATCACCTTTTCCACTCAGATCTGCAGAGTCCTCATCTAGTTGTTCTATTTCTGTTGTTACTTTGTTTTCTTCCTTTGCAGGCTTCTTAACATGGTCTGTTAAATCCAACCCATCAAGCTTAGAAATTTTACAACTATTTTTTTCTACTGAGTTCTCATTAGTACTGTTTTCCTTGCTAGGATTATCCAACTTGGACACAGTTTGTTTTTCAACATGGTTTGGACTAGATCCATTATAGTGTATGCAACTTTGGTCTGTTTTGGATTTGGCACCAGGTGTTGTGACTTGGTCCACCTTAGCCCTGTAAAAGAGTTAAAACAATTTATGTATCTAAGAACCCATTCGACATACCAATGTTACAGGTAACAAGTATTAATATATGTGCATTAAATGCAACAAAAACTATTATTTTTACTAGAAAGGAAATTCAAACCAATGCATCAGATCCAGTTTAGTAATAAGATAATCTTTTTACTGAACTGGATTGACTTTTTAAAACAAATCTGATCTAAATAAACACAAAACAAAGAGTATTAGGGAGTTGCATGTCAACAATAGGATAAGCTGTTATTGGAAATTAGCTATAACCTCCTGAAATATTTCTGAGATTTTATCTTTTCGGTACCCATTTCTATCAGCTTTCCTTATAACTCCAAGTAATTCATGCTTTGGTTCAAGAAATGTTAAGTTAATCACCTTATATATTCATGATCTAACATGTTGATTAGCATTTGTTTCAGTGGCTAAATTATGTTTCCGAAACAGGGGATGAAGGGATACATTTCAGCATTTCCAATATGTTTTAGTTTTAAAATCCACACAAGCATGGCAGCTTTCAAATGGTAAAGATTATAAGAGTGACAGTACCTTTTCACCACCAGATCAGCACAGACTTCATCCTCCTCCTCTCTGAGACGTTTACTGCTGGTCAAATCATTATCATTGTCTGTAGTCACATTATTGGTACCACTATGATTGACCTCAGACATGGCATTAGTTCAGCTTTCCTTGATCTAATAATAAATCAAATTTTAAGAGTGAACAGTCCTTCTCTGAATGACTTAAACAACAAAGAAAAAAATTCAATGACTGTGCAATATCTATGAAAAGACATCAATATCCTGCAAAGATTCCCTTTTTCAGGTTCTCACATTCAACGATTGTTTAACATGTCAGGTCTAGCACACGTCTTCATAAATGTCGCTTTATATATCATGGAAACTGAAAGCCATTCCTCTATAAATAGCCATCACTGAAATCTCCTCCCTGCTAAGACTACCAATAAACACCCACATGCCATATGAAATGCCCAGTAACTGCAGACAAGTTCAATATCAGTCACATGACCTATATTGAAGACAGCCTTCACAAGCCTATAATATTGACTGTAATATACATTAGCAGGGAATACTAAACTATGCATCCCGCACGTATCAGATTACGATGTTGCTTTACATGTGCTCTGCACCATCCAGGTACTGCTGTCTCCAATACTTCCCACTTCCCTTTTCAAGCCTTCTTTATCATAACTACAACAACTATTCACTAAAATATTGCCATAACATGTCATGATTTGTGCCTGTCCCCAGTTTGTCAAGAACAAGGCTTTGTCTGTGTATTACGTCATATTTTGAAAATCATTAAACATTTAACAGTTTTAATGTGTTCCCATTGCATTGGCAGAGTTTAAAATAAAATGGGCAGCACTACCAAAAAGCTAAACAAAGATAACATTTGCTGTTTAAATTCAAATAATGATGAGTGTTATTTATAAATCATTTGTAATAAACTTACTCATACTCTTATGTGAAAGTAGAGAAATTCAGAAATAACCTCTCATGACTAGAATCCTCTGACCAAAATACTAAGCAGTTTTGTATTTGTAGTCTACTTGGTTTCACATCTTTCTTTCAATTTTTCAGCAAAATGTTCAAAATATTTAACTTGGACTAAAATATTTTGAACCTCTAAGTCTTTATTAATTTTTTCTCATCATTTGATAAGAAAAAGTTACTTTTCTTGAACTGACATAATGCTAGACCAACTTCATGTATCAATGCAGACAGATGTTCTTGATTCAACTGATACCTCTGTATTCCCTAAAAGATGTTATTATCAACACTATGGAATGCTACTGAAGGTCCCTTTTTACTTCAGTGTTACTGGAATAAAAATACAAAAATAAAATACCATTCAATCCCAAAGAAATGCCACAGTTTTAAATACTCTTGTCTAGTTAAAATACTCTAAATACTCTGGAAGTACCAAAATGCCAGTTTTTTCTNAGGTTTGTACGCACGGACAGAAAACTTAAGTATTGTGGGAACGTTACTAATGAAGCCACTGGTAGTACTAGTAGATATCAGCCTGTAGTCTTGAACAAGCGCCTCGATGACGAGTGAACAGTTGTCAAAAACAAAAGACCCAGGTGTGGTAGTTCAACTACTGTTGATGCGTGCCGCAACGACCAAACCTAATTGCTCCTCAAGGTCACAAAACAATAACCGGTACTGACGGCTAGGCTCGTCTTAATCATATAAGTAGCGCGTTTCCACCCCCTGATTGAGGGAGTCGTCTGTTATATTCATGCGACTCCTACTTGACGAAAACGAGGCGCGATACCCGGATGACAGGTAGGCTTGTTACAGAATTTGTGATAGGGTTTGATACTCTTTTATGCGATCTGACACACACCTTGAAAACGGGTAGTGTGGTCAGATATACCGGTTTATTCTGGACCCGTAGGTGCCGAGTCTGGTAGTTGGGAAGGCCTGAAAATGTTTCCACTGCCATTGCTACAAGCATCATTATTAGCCTCCTGGAGTATGGGACTAGATTGTTAAATCTCAAAAAATTATCAATATATGTAGTAATACATCATACATATATCAATCTTATATTCAATGCTATTTGGCATTTCACAAGAAAGGCAGGCAAAAATAACCAAGTTTAGCTTGATTTTGAATCTGAAAGCTCTACAGTACATTACTTAGGTGTTCCATAAACTGTTAAAATTACAACATCAGAACAGCTACAAAGATATCTGCCTAAAAATTGTGAAATTTAGGTAGTAAGACATACGGATTACAAATATGTTTCATGAATATAAGATATTATCTACTAAGAATCCTTTCTATTACTTGCTCATCCATATTAAACACATAGAGCACTTACTGGCCAAACCCTTCACCCTCCATCTTGTAAGATGAAACACATTACCTGTAATTAGGATCCTAGACCCAATGCAAGGTCTACAAGGAATTAACTTTTTCTCATTAAGACTTTCTATAAATTCTACATCCTAAAATACACAAGTTTATCAACTTAATGTCAGGAGTCTCCCTTGCCTCTTGGTCACAAGCACTGTACAAAGACTTGCTCCTTTGTCTGAATCAATAAAACTGGTGACCTACATTAACCCTCATACAATGTTACAGAAATGTGCCTGGCTCAAGCATGACCGGTGAGCAAAGGGTTTCACAAGGAAAGTGTCTCTCAAAAAAGTATTTTACATTGCATTATATTCTGTAGGCTCTTACTTGTGAATATACTATAAAGCTTAAGAATAGTACTTTTTTCAGATATGTTTAACTCCTCTAATAAAGTTGGCTCTCACACTGTTACACCATGGATTATGCATGCATCAATGGCACTTAGATTATAAGGGGAGGAGTCATCACCTCATCACCTGTCAGTCAAACTACCTGGTCATGTGATCTTTCTCTCTCACACACATTGACCTCTGGTCTGCCTGAAGCACTACAGCCTAGTTGATGACGTGGAAACTGTATCAACATTTAACTTCCCTTTCTTTGTTCAATATCTAACTACATACAATATCAGCACATTACACGTACAAATTAGATATGTTGCCTCGATTACCCCCTCTGAAAAATTTTTGACAACTGCAGGACTAGTATTCAAGCAAAAAAATCAAAGATTTACCCCTTTTTCTTTTCTTTCAACAACTTATAAACCTTTAACATATTCATATTCAGTAGCTATCAGTGTTTTTAAAAACAAGAAAAATCTACTCTGATAGCAAAATCATGAAATATAATACTCCAACTATGTCAATACTAACATATGCAACTCTACTTAAAGCTACTAAGCACAATCCCCTGAATAACTCCCAAATACTGTCTAATAAACACTTGCGGGTTTTTTAGCATGCAAACAAACCCTCACACACTCAAACCTTCAAGCGTCTTTTCTGAATAATAGATAATAAATAAATCCACAAATACGCATTGCTTGCTTCAGTGATGAACAAGTTTTCAAGGTATGTACAGTAATCCAGTTTTAAAACTAAAAATGCTTGATTGCTCACAAAATTAAGCCAAAGATTTAAAAACAATCTAGGAATAGTATACAAGAATATCATTACCTCCAAAATGGATTCCCAATAGCATGGATTCATTCTTGGTTGATTTTGTAACTGATTCTTTGACTGTAGTTAAGAAAAAGAACTCTGAACTACTTACAACAAAAATGTCATGCCTAACTACTGTACATGCTTTATCAGTAATCAGCTTGAGCTTGACATGTAACAACAATCTGCTCATGAGATTCTTAGCATCAATGAATTGAAAACTGCAGGCTCAAAAGTCAGGAGCACTTACAGGAAAACTATCAAAACCATCAAATGGTATTTGTCCAACTTACAACATGTGCAGAGATGGGGATTTCTTCAGTACAGACCATTTGCCCTTTCACATGCAATGACAAATTTAAAAAATGAAAGTAAAGGAATTAGGCAGCAATTATCTAAGGGACCATTCCCACAGAAATTTGGATTGATCTTTCTCCCTGGGAAGTCTCACTAAATTGCTATCAAACTAACAGGCTTAAACGTCTGTCATGCCTAGTAAAGGTGTTAGGGGGTAATTATGTATACCCCTAGCTGATTTGGTAGGCGTGACAGACAATAAGCCCCTTGAGCTGATAGCAATTTAGCGTGAACCCCCAGGGAGTTAGGTCGATCCAGATGGATCGCTCTAAATATGGGAACCCAGTCATACATATCAAGAAACAGGACAGTAATCATAAGTCTAATACACCTAGATATGCAAACCATCTGCAAATATTTCCTAAATTAAGAAATAGCAAAACCCAAAATTAGTTAACCTTACCAAACAAGGTTTTAAATGAAGAGATAGGGCAATCAAAACACTGTAAAAATCTTATTTTAAGTTGATAGTCTTTGTTTCAACTAGGGCCCATCTCATTAAATCTTCAAAGGTTAATCGAAAGTTCATTGTCACATAGTTTTCAAGAAGCGGGGGAGGGGGGGGGTCCAGGGTACACGATTCACCAGAATGACCCAAATGATCCTGAAAAAGTCAGAATTCCAACAAAAGTCGGAAAAGTCTCATCATTGCTAACTAGTCAGTGGATCATGGCCCACTTGAAAGCATGCCAAGATTTAATTGCTCTGCCCCTGCAGGGATGACACCAAAATCCATTGTCAAGTGCATATCATATTTGATCCGCAGACTATTTCATCAGTGGATTAACTGGTTTTGAACAGGCCCCAACAGGACCTTGTCACTGATGTCTTAAAAATATTTTGCAAATGTGAAATGTGCCTTCAAACCATTGTTGACTCCAAATTAACAACATGGCAGTGACGATGGGCATGTAGGCCATGTAATGCCTTGTTCTTGTATTATACATATATTAGATTTCTTATAAACCTACTTTAATATCATAAATGAAAATATAATCTGTAGAATAGTTATAAATGCAAAGAGTAACATAAAACTGAATCTGCATAATGTGCTGACATTTATACAAAATCTAAATGAATAACCATTTGTGTCTGATTGAGGGAAATTAAGTTAATGCCAAAAAAGAAAGGAAACTAAAACATACACACATACTTCTAGAAAAACTTTGTGTTTCATGAATGTTGCTTTACTATCCTGTTATTTTGATGGATACAAATTCAAACATATTGTTGTGGTTAAGACCAAAACAAACCATCAAAATTACCTTAAGGCATCCCAAAAGCAACTCAAGTTTATTATTATTATTTCATCCAGTGTATTAACATTTGCCAACAAATACCTAAATACCAACAATGTTTAACCATCATGTCTAAATACTAGTAAACTTTCCCAATGAGTATGTCCAAAGATAGGAACTAATGTGCCTTAATAGTTATGACCTTTGTCTATTTTACACTATTATATTCACAAGTTAGTTGCTTTTTCAAAATACACAAAAAAGTGCTCTGCTTGCTGCTCCCCATTTGCTTGATATGATCAGCCAAATTTTGACTAATTTATAACAAAAATCTGAGACTATTTTAAAAAGTTATCAATTTCTCATGTTAGGCAATTAATATTACAAAATATCCAAAGAAAAATATTATAAGAAATTTCTTAAAACTTGTCTTCATTTTAATAAATTTACACTTCCTTCACAACTAGCTAGTCACCGAGCTAGAAGGGGCATTGGAATTGTGCTATTTATAACTTTCAGGATATCCCAGGGAGGCTTAATATGGGGGCATGTCAAATCACGGTACCAAAAATATAAAATACAACCCAGATGACTGAAATCTAAGTCATGAGAAAATTATTTTTCCAATAAAGTTAAAAGTGTTCTCGAGTCAAATCACATGTCAATCAAAAGATTACCACACCAGAAGGGGTCTTGAAAAGGGGGAATCCCTGCTAAAACAAATAATACTTTCGACCACATACTGACACTGGCAGACCCTCAAACATCTTATTTTTGATGATATTGCGAAATTGAGCACTCAATTAAAATATTATATACCTGAGCAACGAAAGTCTGAGATGTTCCACTGCCTGACACCCTCCTTTCCAGGAGACACACAATGGGCACAAGTTGGGAGAATTACAGTTTGATCAGCAATTTGCCAGCGGGCACCTTATGCAATGATTGATCATTTTCTCCCAACTCCTCTTTTAGAAATTCTTCATATTATACTGTTACATAGACACCACATACACTTGCAAAAAAAACCGCCTTTATTTTCCATATATCGTACACTATATAAAAATCAGAAGGAAATCCCCGTTTTAAAAATTTGATCTCACATAGGTTTCTCCCAACCTTAAAACGAACTCAATGGTTGGGTTTCCCCAATCACAGTCATATGCGGTTCATCAGTATCAAAGACATGATAATCTTCAGTTCATTTATCACAGATATTATCGTCAATGATCAAATATTATAAACTCGATTTAAAAATATTTTCATATTATTATGAATAAAATCACGTGTGACCCCTCTGCTCACCTGTCCGAAAATGGTCCTGGCCTATTCAGTCCCACGTTGGGGATGCCGGGTTTTCCCTTTCCAAAGTCAATGAATTGGAGGAAATTGTTTTCAATCACCTCTAACAGATACTAAAAATTCCAAATATTTTATGCTCCAAATGTTGATTTTTGAATCATAATACTAATTGGTCCGTGTTTTGCTAACTCTTACGATTTCCTGTTGCACTGTTAAATAATTACTATTTTCACCCCAAAAAATGGCTGACCTTTCTCTAAAATAGGAGTGGGGTTCTCACTTTGTAGTGCAGGGAGCAAACAAACAAATTGTTTACTAGTAAACAACCATTAAATCTTGTCTGAATCTCATTGGGTAATCATGAACATGTGACCTAATGTATCGGTCTTTGTGCAAAGGTCAAGATGTATGTCACCTCGCAGCTATGGCAACCATCTGATGAAGTGTGCAGAAGAAGAGTTGCACAAATAAATACATGAATATGTAATTGTTTATTTTGCTTTGTTACTCTGCAATCTGATTGGTTGGACTAGGGCCAATGAACATCCTGTAAGGTACTTAATTTACACAATTCTATTTTCAGAAATCACATAATATCTCCCAAAACAAGCTAAAAAAGCTTAAGTTCAACAGAACAGCAAAATTGATGTTTCTCAGAAATTTGTTGTATAATGATGAGAAAAGTTGATATCTTAAATAAGTCTTAAACTATTAGAATGCCAAAGTATGCAAAATGCCTTTTTTTTTTTTTGAAGGGGCTTTTGCATGCGAAAAAAAAAAGAAAAGCAAATGATGTTGTAGCTAAATCAGTCAAATGAGACAAATATACTACACTTCATAGATGCTGCAGTTTCTTTTCAATACTTTAGTTCAACAGCACAATACGGTATGACTCTTGATATTATTACACAACACTTTAACCCTTACATATATATATCAACATTTTTATTTGTACACATGTAGTACCTACAAGAATACAGATTTGCTTAAAAATTGGCTGGAAAAGCATAAATGCACATTCTCTTTAGTTTCTTTCAACATAATTGACTAGGGTAGTTTTAATATCATAATACTTGATACAGTGAAATAGCACAATCATGCAGCAACTATGGGTGATGTCACAATCACCAAATAATAAATTTTGACTAATAACACAATCAGGAAGTTAAAAATTAATTTTAAATGTGTTAGCTGTGACATATCATACTGCCAATTAAAATGTTATTTATTGAAATCGGCATTAAGGTAGTTTTCAAATAAATTAGAAGGCTTCAGTGGAAAATTCTCTATAAATATAAATGTTTGTATGTTTGAACCTAACATGCAAAACTATATACAGACATTTTTTTCTGGATTTGATACACTCAGCTGAACATGTATCATTTACTTCAGATTACCAGAGCCCTCCCTCTCGTCCAAATCTTCATACATTTTTTAAATAAGCTAGCAATAGCACAAACTGCTTCCAGGCTATTCTTATAAAGTCTAACGTAACATGATTGTAGTTTTCAAAAACGTATACCGTTATCACATACTCAACTAACACAGAGATAGACAATGACCATATTTCTGAACTGAGATCCTGTTTTGATAAAAAATTTATTTCAGTTGTAAAGTATTTTCAAACTGATATTAAAACATAATCTGCAGTATTTTGATCAATCTTTTCCATAAAATTGTTTATAGATAGCTTCTTAAGAGGATGATGATGATGATGATGAGAGATGATGATGCTCCTGGTGATAGCTTATGATAATGACCAATGCACCATGAGGTCATAATGTATTCTATTCACATATGTACATTGTCTGTTTTCTTCCCCAGCTTGTAATGGGTTCTCTTCCGAAATTCATAGAGAATATGCTATAACAGTGGCCCACTTGAATTTGGAGAATTCAATAAATGGAAGGGGCAGGGTCCTTCAGTCCACTGAAATAAAAAGTTAATTCACTTATGATATGATATGATATAATACAAGGAAATACAGACTTTGAATAGAAATAAAGTTGAATATGATATACTGTTTTCTAAATCAAATTAAGATTTCTCATGTGCAGTTAAAATGAAGAAGTTAAATAACCTGCTGCACAAAGCCAGGTTCTTAATGTATCCATAGTGGAATAATTCTCAAGTCCTTTTTAACTGTGATTCCAAAGGCATGTACATCTCCCACACACCTGCATTAGTTTGTGTTCAGGCTGGTTGGCTGACTGCATGTGGTCTGTGAGGAGGGACTGTGAAAAACTGTGATGGACTTGATGTTCTGCAGCCTCACGTTCATGATCACCTACTAACCTGTATAAATCTGCAACAGACAAAGGTGTAATTTGCACAATGGGTGGTGACCAATAGACCAAAGTCTCCATTCATTCAGAGTGTGTGTGTGTGCGTGCTTTGTGCATGTAAATGCTTAATTGAGGTTAACTTTTTTCTGGTATCTTCCTTATATTACATCAAATTTACCCATCTTACAACAACCTTAGAAATTTTTAAAATGCAGTCTAACAATATAGTATTACCTCTAAGGAGAGCTGATGCCCAAAGTTGTACTTGCGCATCTGGGATTTTTGCTGCCAGTTGAATGGCTGGCGTTACCATGTTCATAGCTTCCTGAAAGGTTTGAGGTAGATATGGTCAGAAAATGGACGAGTAATAGTCTGAAAACCAATTAATCTTGCAAAATATACAAGAAAGATAGCTAAGAAAAAGAAATCAATGGAAAGGAACCAAAAAGAGAATATATAATACTAGTGAAATCAAAGTTGCATTGGGTCATTGCAAGGGCTATGTTCTCCAATTTGAGACCATCTTTTAATTAAAAGATTTCATATCAAGTAGGGATCCAACAAAAGAGCAAACTTACTTCGCTGTTTCCCAGGGATAAAAAAATATGTCCTAATAAAACCAGTGAGCATGATGTTAGGCGATTCAAGTCTTCAGCATTGGCCATCTTCAAAGTTTCCCTGAGATACCTCCTGAAAAATAAATCAAATATTTCATTAATTAATAATTTCATAAACAAGACATGCTCATAAGGAAATTCAGACCCCTAACAACAGTCACTTCATAAACATTTTAAACAGTTCCTGAAACACATCACTTTGACACATGACAAGTGTACAACACAACATGTACTTTTCTCTAAGTTTTAATGTGTACTTTCGGCTAAAAATCCCATGAACCGCCAGGAATTGATAAATCATGAGGAATTGTGGAATTTTGCACATTTCTTGTAGAAATCTTGTCCCTGCTTGGGCTTCAGTTCCAAAATGAATGTTCAACATAGAGCATCTATAATATTGGTCCTAGCACTAGGGTCTGAACATTAACTGGTGATAAATATAAGACTGGTTCCAAACTTTAGGGCCAATTACACAATCTCTCATGAATTGGAAGAACTGACTGAGAATAGTAAGGAATTAGTTAGGGGCTTAAAGAATTTATCATGATGAAACTAAGAACCCTGGAAGTTTAAATTCTTGGCAGTTTGTGGAATTTTTAGTCAGTGTGGAATAGGGGCATAAGAAAGTTTCAAGACAGAACTATTTATTTTTTCAATTCCAACTTACTTTGCTTCATTGTATCTAGCTTGAAAAAATGACTGTAGTCCACGAACATAAAATGCAGCTGCTTTCAAACTGTGAGACCTAAAACCAAGCACATGTCAATAAACTAATTATATGAGACTGCACCCAGGTTGATATAATATTGTAGACTGCAAAAAAACATACTGATCTCAGCCAAAGTCCATCATTGAATAGTATTCATTAAAATCTTTTTATTTCACTTTTTTGCACTTAATTTTAAAGACATGCAATTTTGAAATACAATACAGGCTACAGCCACATAGCTTATGTACCAATAAGCACATCTTAATTCATCTCAACTCTTCTCTTTAAATCTAGACACAGCTTTAAAAAAAACACTCACCCTGCTGGAATCCTTTCAGGGTCTATCCGGTCTAATAATGTCATTAAATCAGCATGCCTATTGTTCCGTAGGTAAACTATTGCTAAATTCAAATTGTTAAAACTCCATAAGTTTGGTTCTGTAGATAACTGAAAAGGAAATAACCAAAGAAATAAATACTCCCTGGGTAAGATCCGTATAATGTAGATGGCTCATAACATTGTTACTGATATGTGGCCTACAAAATATAAACGAAAATGTAGATCAGTCCACCCTCATACTCACCCTTATGGCAGTACTAAATTGTACCTCTGCAGCATCCATGCTATTCATTGACATTGCATACAGCCCCTAGGAAAAGAGATCAAAGCTTCTTAGACTTCACCAAAGACTTCTATTTAGTAACAATAATAACAGAAAAAACAAATTTATCCGAATAAACAAAGTTATAATTCAATACATCACATTTTTATTTCTTACCTATTTTATATGGAACTTTTTTTCACACCACAATTTATGTCAAATTGTTTTGATCTATTCTACTCACCAATAATGTGTGTAGTTGTGCACCATGCACTTGGAGTAACTTTGGGCTTTGTTGACAGACTTGGCAAGCTTGTGAAATTTCTTGAATTGCCATGGTCTTGTTTCCCATAACAAGTCTACACATGATGATATGTTCTAACAACATCAGTTGAAATGATGACAGGAGAGGATTTGAGTCTAACACTGGAACAAACAAATTGTTCAACTCTATATCATTGTTAATTATATATGACACAAAAATAAACACCGCAAAAACTTTATTTTGTACAACTGCTGTAAAAGCCTTTACATTCTCTGAGACAGCAGTATGTAAATACAGAAAGATGTATAGGAATGTGAATTTTTATTCAAACTATTCTGATTGTACATACTTTTTAACTTTTCAATCTGCATGAGAGCCTTGTCAGTGTATTTTTGGGCCTTGTCCATATATCCTGCCTGCATGGAATGCATGACTGTTACCTGGAATAAATCAACAAACACTATCACACAGCTTTCAATATAATTTATTTTAAAACTAGATTTTGTGACACCAAGCAAAAATATTCTGTTCATTAAATATCTGGGCCAAAACACTGTGATTCCTGCACTGAGATTAAATCAACTTTTTCTGATGTTTTTAATCAGACCAGGATAACTGAAATGAGTAAATTTATCCTTACCAAGTACACTAATACACACATATGTTCCTTAGGTAACCACTGGAAGCAGTCTGCTGGGTTGGCTGGGAGAGGATCTACAGAAAGACCAAAAGATAAATATTATATACTTGTGTGCTTGTGCGTGTCAGCCTGTGTGCAGGTGTACGTATGTGCACAAAGATCAAAATATAACCAACTACTGACAAAAGATCCTTGATAATAAAGTCAGCATTATGGCATAATGCAATTCTTAAATATTTTCAAAAGATAGAGATTTTGTTGTATACAGAAAGCATGAAACAACAAGTATTTAAGTTGTAAGTTAAGCCTGTTACACATTTATTTCAAATTCATGTGATTGAGTGGTTTTAAGCAAGCAGATGTAGAAACTGTCAATTGTATTGTCATAGAATTTTTTTCGTAAAAAGAAAAAAATTACTTGCCTTGGTCAATGTGTTCACTTTCATCTATGTGTATTGAGGTAATTGTCTGTATGCTTTGCTGAAGTTGCTTTAATGCTGGTTTTACACTTTTCACCTATTAAAATATATTTAAAAGAAATCTTGTCACTTTTCTCTTAAAATTTTCAAAGCATTTAAAAAAAACTCCAAAATACTCCACTGGATCTTATGTATTATGCTGAAAGAAAGTTTCATTTTGTATAAAAACAGAATACACAAAGACTGATGTAGTCAAGTCAGCAGATACACTGCACAAAACAGTCATCAAGTAAACATATTCTACATGAAATGAAAAATTTTCAACACCATCCTAATCACATTACATAATTTTATACTTATCTTAAAAAAAATGTAACAATATATGAGATGTACACCTGTAAGTTGTTTCTATCATTTTACAAAAATGAAGATACTCTGTAGCTGATATAGTAACACATCTGTACCTGTCCTGCCATTAGAAAATGGCAAACTTGTAAAATGAGAAAAAACACTTTGAGCCCTTCTTTCCTCCCTGGATCTCCTTGCAACCTTTCTATAAGCTCTCCAGACAAACTGAGGCTCTGGTGGACTTCCGTCAGATTTTTGCTGATAAGTAATAGCTGAAATAAAATTAACTTCACATTTCAAAACCATTTTCTAATTGAAAAAGAAAATTTGTACAAAATACTCTCAGATGTATTTTTATTAAAATCAAACAAATTATTTATGCCAGTCGGATTTTAAAAATATGTTTCATTCAATAAAAGTACAAAAAATTGGAATTTCAGTATCTCACTTAAACATTTTTCAGCATGTGATTTTTACTTACCATTCCTCTACTAAGTAAGTATAAAACCCTACTATACTGTGCACCCATCCTTTGTGCAAAGTCAGCACCAACTCCCAGCAGTCCAACTGCAGATACAAAATCTTTTTCTTGCACATGAATTTGCTGTAAGACAATATTGACCCATATATGAAACAAACAGTGTGTGTGTGTGTGTGTGTGTGTGTGTGTGTGTGTGTGTGTGTGTGTGTGTGTGTGTGTGTGTGTGTACACCTCAAGGAACACACACATTCATGTTACAGTCAAGTTCTAATGATTATGACACTTGAAAGCATAAACATCAACTAATAGAAATATATATATATCATTTTGAAGTGAACTTGGCACATTTCTTGTAAGAGACAACAATTTGTTTTTCATAAAACAATTGAATACTTTTCGTCAACCAAAACAAAGAACTCTGTACACCTGCTGCTTCATTTTCTACATTCATGAAGACTTCATGGCTAACAGCACTGTGTCAAATATTCTAAGGTGAAGAACCTTTCATTTTATATCCTGAAATATCTCTGGGGCTTTGTACTCAGGATAAAACCCCTTTTTTCACTAAAATGATAACTTTTTGTACTTTGTACTCCAATTAATTGTCAAGGTTAGACTTAAGTCTCCTGAGATTACTGTGCATTAATCAATATAATGAATAGGCTTGCAGTGTAAAAAGATATCAACTATGATACTAAAACTACACATGAAAGCAAGTGCACTAAATGATACTGAATCTTTGAAACAGCATGGGTGTATTTAGACTAAAATTACATCGAAAATGTGATCTTTTCTGGAAAGAGGCATCTTTAATAAATTGCTGACACAATACTTACTGCCAACTGAAACAAAAGTCTGCACCGCCAATATGGAGCATCACTGGAAATTTCTATTGCTTTCCGAAGTACAGGCTTAGCAGCATGCACTTGACTCTGAAGAAATAATCAATTTTAGATATCTCTCAGACTGGTTAAAATTAATCTCAATATCATTTGGTAATATTTTAAATATGCCATGAGGGTAAACAGTCTCAATATTAATTCATATCATCACATACTATAAATGTATTGGTCAAAGAATATAAGAAAACTGCTATGTAAATTTGATGGCCCATGTACTTTATCCAAAACACCCAGTTATATAGTCCAAGAAAAACCAGATCTCTCTCAAGTTTTTGCTGCTTAGAAATAGCTGAAAAGTGTACTTTACCTGTTGCTCATATAATTGCCCTAATGTACTTGCTGCTTCAAATTTGACATCATCAAAGGAAGGGATCTTTTGTTTTTATGTTAAGGTATATAGCTAGATTATAGAAGCAACTCACACAGTAGAGATATATTGCCCTTTCAGTCAAACTCAAGCAAATGTAACTGATTTTGACACACACACACACACACACACACACACACACACACACACACACACACACACACACACACACATACCATCCTAACCCATCTTTTCTTAATGAAATAATGTTCACTATTAAGATCATCTGCAAATGCCATAACTGAAGCCTCCTGTATAACTAAGGGGCAAGCTGAACTCTGGTAAAAAAGTATCCTACATCCTATGGGAAATATCAAATTGGAATGTCTATTTTTTTGTCAGCTTGACCTACTTCTCTTCAAAAGCAACATAAAGACTTGTTAATTTATCGACCTAAATATATGTATTGCACAAAAACTAAGAACATTTTATAAGTGAAAATGCATGCTTTTTAAAACTTGCTGAGCTGCTGAAAAAGTCTGCTATGATATGAAATTCCCTGTCCAAAGTGTAGGTAGAATAAGTGACATTTGTGCAAATCACATACTGTTCTGAAATCAAAATGTAAACCTCTCCCAGAAGAACAGCAAATCTCACCTCAACTTCTGGATACAATTTTCAAATAAACAATTCCAATTACTGACTGTCAACATGCACATTAAACACTTACTGGTATATCTAGTACGGTTATTTTGATGCCCAGGTCCTGTAAAGTCACTAACAAGCAACTTTATTATGGAAACCATATTATGAAAAACGAATTACAGAAACCTACTGCGGCAATGAAATTTAAAATAAGGCCTTCTTCATTTCTTGACTTGCCGCCTGAAGTTACTACTTTAAGTTAATGTGCCACAGTGCCTACACTGTCAGTGTCACTGTCATCTGTGTATTGATCTTATTCCACAACAAAAGGATACGCTATTTGACAATCCCCACTGAAAGAGAGAAAAAAGACCCGTTTATTTAAAATAAAAACGATATAGAAATTAAAAGACTGATATCAAAATGTTATATTAGCTAGGTCACATATGACAAACTTGAACTTACCGCTGTTTCTAAATGTGATCTTGCGAGGTCAATGTTTTTTGTATGAGTGAAGAGGAGACCCCCAAGTTGTAATCGTGTCCTTGCCTCTATCCGAGGTGGAGGCTTTAAATTCAATATCGCTTGCAAGCAATGAATACAGAGCTTTATGTTTGGTGGATTAGAAGTCCTAAAGCTTTCTGCGATTCCTAGTAATGGTAGATAACATGGTTCTGGTTGAGATGCCGTCGCCATTTTGCTTTCTTCCCGCTGGTGCCTTTCCGCGAAGTAGGGTGCGGTGCGGACTTGAACAAAGAAAAGAGATTAATCAATTACTATAAATAGTCTAACTTTGATTTTTGTTTTTTAATTATTTTCTTATATGCATTTTGCGTAGAATCTATGCCCAATTATTTACCAATGGTAAAAGAAATAAAACATATAGACCAATTACTAAAAAGTAGGTCATCAGCCTCTGAGAGAAAAATGGCTGCGCCCATGTGGAGATGGGCGGCTGTTTGCGGAGTATATTTAATAGCATTTTTCTGGGCTATTCCTGTCTTGATGCGGACATTTTATATAGCGATAAGGAAGCCTAAACAGTTTTTTAGTCGTAAGAAAAGAGACATTAGGCCCGCTTGTCTGGATGATCCCAAACTGGGTGCTCACGGATTCGTTAGATTAAACTCGGAGTCAGAGGCGAGTTTCTGGGGGGTGGGTGTTTCTGGTTTGATAAATGACGCACCATGTTCAGTCAGATGTTAATTTAACTTACGCTAACACTGCAAGTTTTTTATTCAAAATTTTGAACAAAGTCACATCACCTTCCAACATGCAGTATGTCATGATTAGGGTTAAAGAACTGGAGCCGGAGGGAGGGGAGGTAAAATGAAACATTTTAGCCACTTTTAAACCTCTTACAGTGGGAATTAAATTTCATATTTTAAATATGTATACCAAAGATAATAAAACCTATAACCTATCATTTACTGTCAGAGTCAATTGTTTTTAAAAAATGTTCTCTACACTGGACTCAAAAATTGCAATTATTGTCCCAAACTGAGAAGTATCAGATCTTGAAAGACATAAATACAATGGGCATTGAATAATTTAAAAAAATCATGGACATTATTATTTTTGAATAGGACTCTTATAATTTCCCCAACGCCCTAATTATAAACAATTTATTATAATCTTATTTTATTTAAAGCATTGAATAATTGTGTAAATTTATATTTTATTGTAAAATTCCATTATTTCTATTTGCATTCAACACTTGTATCATTATATTAAAAAAAAATAATGAAATGTATTAGAATTATGTGAGCAAATGTGTTAGAATATAATTGTTACGTCAAAAATTGCATTAATAAATGAAGTTTCATTCACTTACTGAAGTTGAACTTTTTATTCGGTTTTGTTTTAGGGTATCAAGATGCATTATGTTGCAAATGGAGGGGAGAATATGCCCCTGATGCTTCTCTTGCATGGGTTTCCAGAATTTTGGTATTCTTGGAGGCATCAATTAAAGATATTCTGTCAGAATTACAGGTACACAATGCATTTGCAAGGTCTGTGCATAATGTTAACTTGATATACATATTAATATTTGTATTTGTTCATTGTTTACAATAATAATGTTTATTTAATGAAACTGATAATATATTTATTTGAAGTCTAAAACTCATTTAAAAATAAGTACTTAACACAATCACAGAGTTATATAGATAAAAACAGCCTAATTTTCACACAAAACCAATTACAAGTAAGATTATCAATAATAAAATTCATAAAAAAAGATATATTTTTAACTCTATTTTAAAATTATTTGTGAATTTCAATTGGTAGCATCTTTCATTGCAATGGACCAGATTTAAACGTGATTTACCCATAAGTTTAAACACACATTTTTATAACTTTCTGTTTCAGTAGTACATGAAGTTGATATACTGATCACAAATTTCTGGTAGGAACACTGTGGACAACTAGACTGTTTAAGGAAGTCACTTTATAATAAGGCAGCAATGCTGTTAAATGCACAGACATAAAGCAGAAAAAAATCTCCATTTTCAACACTTTTTTACACAATACAAAATAACCAATTAACTGTCATTTTTATGTGATCAACGAAGAAATTTGTTGAGATGGGAAAAATATCAATAAAATGTCCCATTTGCTCCATTCTGAGATTCTAAACACATTGAAGGATTGAATCTGACAAACTGCATTGATATGAGTTTATTTCCTTTTTTGACTCTTTATTACATAATACACGATAACAGATTTACCATCATTTTTATATAATTGACTAAAAAAATTAAGATGCAGAAAATGCCAAAAAAACAACAGACACAGGAGACAGCTATATGTGCAGGTGCAACTGTGGCTGTACATAAAGAGAATTGTGTACAAAAACTAAGAGTGCCATTCCAATTATTTAATATATTCATGTTAGTTTAGCCAATGGGTTCCATTTCCTGACTACTCCTGTAGCAACAAAAATCTCTTGTTGCTGTCGTCTTGCACTTTCCACATTAACACCATAAAAGTGAAACCATGCTACTTATTATTCTCAAACTTACAAGAATGGTTTTTAGGACTAAAGTACAGATAGAGTTAGACATGTGAATTTATAATGTTTCACATATTGGTAATTTTAATGTATAACTTTGAACTGCCTATGGTCTAAAGCCCTAATGTTAGTTACGTTTTCTGAATGTCCACAGTAACAGTAGTACAAAAAATTGGTGGTAATTATGCTGGTCAGCATTATGTTATATACTACATCCAAATTAACAAAATTACAACAAGGACTCACTAAATCTAGTTCAAATAACTATTCTGACTAGATTGTTATTCTTTCAGTTTTTCTTTAATTGTATTTACAAATAACATTTGGGGCTTGGTGTCATATTTTGTCACTCTTTCACTTTTACGCTGTTAAAGGTTTTTATGTAGAAAATTATATATGCCTTTTTTAACTCTAAGAAATGTTATATTTCTAGAGTTGTTGCTGTTGATACACGAGGATGTGGAGAAAGCGAACAACCAAAAGGAATTTACAGCTATGACTTGAAAAAGCTGAGAGATGACATCAAAGAATTAATATTATCTTTTGGTATGATAAGACACTTGAAAAGGTTTTGAGAAATTATTACCACAGCATCTTCCACTGAAAATATTTGGATTGCCTTTTGATACATTCCCTATAACAACTAATGTCAGCTTCACATGGAAAGAAAGAACATCTAAAGCAATTTATGATTTTTATATCATTTTATAAAATTTTCCACAGATTACACTATTTCTCACCATTATGTGCCTGTGTTGGTGATATCCAATTTTAATCATTTCAGTGCTACTAATGTAGTTGTTAACATGCTTTATTCAAGTCACATAATCTGTTTGTTTTGACACAAAAATTGCCCTTATGCCTTTAACCAAGGCTTTTCCCAGTGAACTGTCCAGTCGTCATTTGGACAGCTGCCAGCAACACTGGACAGCCTATTTTTTCAAAGGCAGCTGGAAAACTTATGGATTTTTTGTGGAAATATGATGGCTTTAGGCATACTTGGACTCCCTGAAATTTTGGTAATTTTGGACGGCCTGTACCCCCAGTCCTGGGAAAAGCCCTGCCTTTAACTCATCTTACTTTTTAAATAATTTTTTTACTAAATGATTACATTTTGACTGATATGATTAAAATTGAATAATTTGAAATAAGAAAGGACATTTAATCATTATGTTATGTACAAAATTGTATAATGTTGATAAAAATTATTGACCTTTGCTCCATTTGAGATGTGATCACAATTTCTGTACGTCAGGTTACAATTCCTGCATACTGGTAGGACATGACTGGGGAGGAGCTATGGCATGGGCGGTGGCTGGCAAGTATCCTGAACTGGTGGATAAACTAATCATTATGAACTGCCCACACCCAGCTGTAATGGGACCTTATTTGAAGACTCACTACAAACAGATGCTTAAGTCTTGGTAATGTACAATTCTTCTTCAAATTTAAATCTTTGAACATATGATATCAATAGTGCGATTTTCATTTAGTAATCTTGTAAAGTTTGATCAGATCTTCCTTCCTTAATTTCATTTGTTGACCAGTTGGACATATTCTTAATGTTTCTCTCATGATCTCTGTATAGGTCCTGACATTTACTTTAAAAAAGGTGAAATTTAAATTGATGTTGTAAATGAGAGAAACCAAACATAGACAAGCTGTATAAAATTTAACATAAGTGGATTTGTTATGTTTTATAGGTACATGTTCTTTTTCTGCCTGCCTTATTTACCAGAATGGCTCTTTCTCAGCGGGGATCTAAAGATGATTGAAAATACTTTCTGTGGGAAGGTAATGGGAGCCAAACCTGGAGCTTTCACCCCAGAAGACATAGAGGCTTTTAAGTACACATTTTCTAGACCAGGTAAAAAGAAATTGATGTTTTACAATATCAGTTGATACCAATAATATGGACAGGGGTTGTGGTACTTCTTACATATTAAGAACATGTTACGTAGTTCAAATTGTCGTTTTTTTTTTTAACTCTGTTATTGTCCTACTGAGTACGTAGCAGTTGTGTTCAAATTGTGTAAAAAAAAAAGATGAATTCGTTTTTACAGTTACAGTTTGCTTCATTATTTCCAATTATAACGGAAGTGGTTTCTTTTTAAGGTTAGATCACAACTGTCATTCAATACATTTTCTATAGGTACTGTTACCTGTGCCATGAACTATATCCGTGCAGCCATACTGGGTAAAATAGCAAGTGGAGGTTATGGCAAACCAAAGGCTTTAATTCAGGCCCCCACCTTAGTTATCTGGGGCACTAACGATGGTGCACTGCAGAGTGAGATGGCAGAATTGTCTGGTAAACACTGCAGGGATTTTACTCTAAAGTTCATAGAGGGAGCCAGTCATTGGGTACAACAAGATGAGCCAGACATAGTAAATCAGCACATCACTGCTTTTCTTGCCAAATAAGCAAATGTGATTTCAGTTGGGGGAAAAAAAACAGAAACAGACATGAAACATTGCCATTTTTAATTTGACCAGAAATATTCTTCAGTCACTGGGTACAAGATGAGCCAGACAGTTAATCAGCACATCATTGCTTTTCTTGCCAAATAAGCAAATGTGATTCAATTTGAGAAAAAAAAGACCCAAACAATTATGAAACGGTGCCATTTTGATTTGACCAGAAATATAGTTTTGACTTTGACTCTAAGTTGGAAAACCATGCACATTTGACATACTCATATAAATACCATCCTATACTACCCACTAACAGGGTGGCAGATTATAGATCATAATATAAGGAAAAATGGAAAAATCCACAGCCAAATGAATGTCTATTTATCTAGAGACATATCTGTGAAAAATCCATCTGTTGCCCTGGTAGAGGGTAATCCTCTACCAGGGTCACGAAGATAAATATTTCACTAGATATTTACATCTAATTATCTGTCTATTCACTAGCTGTGCACATTTCTATTATATGCAGCTAGGATTTTTGGATTGGGTTTTTATTTCTGCATAAGAACGTCATCTGCCAGCTGATGAGAGCAGTAAACTACATACAACACAACCTTAAAATAGGGTATTGAATAGACAACTGCAAACAGAGGAAGCTTTAAGTGATATTCAAGAGGTATTTTTCCTTTTCATAAATATAATTAAAAGAAGACGTTTGTTGACAATCACAAACATTTTATTGAAATTCACTGGGAAGTTTGTAATATCACACATATTTAGTTATAGTTAATAAGATTTTTTTTTTCAATTTCATATGTATTCTTAACATTCTGGAAAACTACATACATTAAATTATGTCTCGGTAAATTGTAAAGACACATAACAGAACACATTGTTTGAACAAATCAAGATATTGCTCATTTTTTAAATGTTCTCATTTAAGTAAATGATCTCCATTATTTTGAAATAAATTAATTTTTTTATGAAAATAATCAACTGATATTGAATTCCTTACATAACATGGTCCCCTATCAGACATAAATTTCCATCTCTCAAGTGTAGATATATTGTTCCCCGCCCTTCTAAAATAAAATCAAATAATGCAGACCTATTCCAGTTCCCAGACCCTGACCAATTAAAATCAATGAAATTTTCGTGCAGAATGTACTTTGCATTATTGCAAATTTTCACGTCTTTCAAAAATGTCACCGTCTATAAATGTGTTTCCACATTGTGTCTTTTATTTGTTTACATATGGCACCTAAAAACTTCCATCTCTTAAAATCAATGAAGCATCACTTCCTCCAATACTGAAAATTAAAAAAATTAAATTAAAATATAACTTTCAATTACGTGAGCCTTGAGCAGCAATTAGATGTACATGTACTTTGACCAATTATATATCTGAAATCATAACAATTTAATGTCAGTTTTGCCATGGTTCCATTATTCTGATATTCCTCTGTGGCAAAATGATAACATTTAACATTAAAAATGTATAACAGTTGATAACACACTATCATCCAGCAAATTTCTTACTAATTTGGTTGTTCAGAATTCATCACAAAAACAACACATTCGGTAAGAAAACTGGGCAACCAAATTCTATTTTAGTAACCAAAAACCAATATATAGCACACAAGTTATTAACTATACCTGTGCCATTTTATGAAACTGCTCCACAATCCCAGCCATGAAAGCAGACACACTAACATCAATTTCATTCTGTAAGTGGCGAACTGCTTCTTCATCAGACAGCTCCAGTTTGAATTTGTCTTGCACCTGGAATTTGTGAATAAAATTAAAAATGACAACAACAATGGCACTTACAGACTATTTTCAAGTAGGAGCATATGTAACTAGTTAACTTTTTTCACTGCTCCCTCTAAATACTGCATACATTTTGTATGAAAAGATCATTAATTAACTTTAAAGGAGTATTACCTTTTTTACAGTCTTGTCGGGTTCCAGAGCTATGTCAGGGACATTGGCATGGATCATCAGTGAAAAAAGATTAAGAATCAAGTTTGCTGACCTGAAAGTTGTAATTTTAACTGTAAATGAGTTTCAAAATATGCACACCTTCACACTTTCTTCATCAATTACAAAACACTTTAAGGTAGTCACTCCTCTTAATCTACAAATTGCATTTCCTATAGTTTTTTTCTTTTTTTAATTCAGAGTAACATGCAAATGATTGCTTGACTTTTTATTGGGGATGAATTTACAAAGACTACACCAAGGTGTAGTTTACTAAGCCTAATGTGAAATGAGGCTTTTGACTTTTTACTAATTTGTGCATATAATTTCTCCACAATAATATGTTTTCTGAAGCCTGAACTGATTTCAAGCAGACACATAAATATTTGAGAGAACATTTTACACTAATGGAAAAAGCCTATGGGAATACTTAATCCACAATGGAAATAACAAGTTCTAGGAAAACTCCCTTTCATACCTGCTGCATTATAAATTGGATACTTGAGAGCCAAAAAAAAAAGAAAAAACAAACCCACTATCTATCTATCTTGGCTGCCATTATTTCCTCACTTAGTGCTCACTTATTAATTTTCATTAAATATTTATTTCCTCACTTTTGTACACTTCAATGTACTTTGTTGTGATGCCATTTAGCTAATACAAAGTGTTTGAGACTTGGGAATGGCATGAATAAAATGAATCAATTTGTTCTCCTTTAAATAATTCACATTTAATTTGGAAAAAAGAATTTGCTTTGATTGTGAACATATTTCACATGGACAACAGGAAGATACAAATGGACAAATGGTAATATTGTTTTATGTGCACTGCTACATGCAAAATTATAGTAGCATGCTTGTTTCTCTTTTGAGCATATGTTGAGGACAAGAAAGGTCTTTTGACTATTCTTATAACTTGTTAAAAAACTGATATACATCAAACAGAACACTAAAATATGCTGTGCTTGGTGCCTTTTAGTTCCTCCTTTTTTATTCCATGTATAAACTATAAGTGCCTTCACAAACGATTCCTTAAATGATAAGAACTGCTTCCTCTGGTCTCTTACAGACAGAAAATGTGTCCAAATATCACTACTCAGTACCAAATTTTTTATTAAAATGATTTTTTTAATGATAGACAGGTGGTTAAATAACCCCAAATCCCACAAAGACAACTCGTCCCTACAAGTCAAGCTGTTGCTAAAACATAGTAAGCCAGCCATCAACAACAATAATAGCAGTCCTCTTATGTATATAATAGACTGGTCATCAATATGGCAGCTGGATTGCTCTCTGGGGAAAGCCTTGTAAGAAACACAATATACAAGTTCCAAAAATTTTGAATGCTCAATCTAACAGAAATTCTGTGCAAAAGCTTAAATTACCTTCTTAAATGAAGAAAAGATGTATAACATAATGTTCTGAAATCTTCAAACTGTTTGCTGCTAGTGCCTCCCATTGCTTCTACCATTTCCTTACTAAGTTTCATGGGAGGTGGAAATGGCTTAGGATCCCTTCCAAGTATATAGCCAAAATCAATATGAAACATCTTGCCTGAAACATTAGAGATGCTTTAAAATGTAGAGCATGAGGGAGAATCTAAATATACATCAGAGCAATTTAAAATAAGTATCAGTCATGACGATAAGACAGTTTCAGCATGTCTGTGCAGTAATTTAAGTGCACTATTTTCCCCATTTATTCATTCATTCAATAAAATTTTTTTAAATTTCTTCATTAATATCAGATAAAATCCAACTGGGCATTATTTTTAAGGTGCCCAAGCAGCTAAAGACTTTTCCCTTGAAAATCTCATACTTAATGGTGTTTTTCACCAACTAACCAACCTTTGATCTTCCTTTCCTGATAACTTCAAGACAAATTTTTCATGCCTTTAAGTAAAAAATACGTACACTTTGTTCATTAAAATTCTGAATCTCCTACTTCAATAATTGCTATATAAATATGTGGTGTAGACTAATTTACTTTGGTATTACCTGATTTTGTGATCAGTAGATTGTCCAAGTGCCTGTCTCCAACACCCAGCAAGTAGGTCAAGACGCAGTAGCCAGCTGAAACAGAGTATATTCCTCTTTTTAAAAAGAGTGCAAAGTTTAAAACAAGCACATGCTTATACGTGAAAAAAATATTTTAACTTAGTTTTTTTAAGTCTCCTCCAAACCACTACACAAATTATACTAAATTTAAACCCATAATAATTCACATCATGCTAAATCCCATCATGCTATGATTATTATGAAAATATATGCACACATACCACAACTTTTTACATAGTTATCCATGACCTCATTGCGAATTCCATATGGTCCAGTTTCAAATGGGGAATACTTTCTAAGAAAGTTCTGAATGCTTCCTTCCGATGATAAAACAACTGCTACATTGGTGGATTCAACAATCTGAACAAAACCTAAAGTACATATAGATTGGTTGAATAACATATAAATTGATTGAATAAACCTAAAATAAAGAAGGTAGTCTATTTTTAATTTTTGAATTGCTTCTAAATTGAAAGCAATCATTTCCCGTAAGTACTTCTGGAAAATATGTATACTGTCAAAGATTCAAACAGTCAGTGTCAACTGGCAATATATAGAGATGACGGATGTTTATTGAAGGGTAAAGTTTGAAAAAACATGTCCTATTTCCTACATTCATTTCAAAATAACTTGCCATTTTTACAGCTTGTAGCCAATACTTTGTATGGTGTGAGCTTCAAGTCTAAGTTTTCCTGTCTCAGAAGTTTGTCCATTAGGCTTATCATCTGCAATACCAACTGATCCTGACGTAAGTCGTCGCCTAGTTTAAACATGGCTATATATTCAGTTTCTTCCACTGTTTTAAAGGCAAGTTTGCAGGGCATTAGCTGGCTCTGGATTAGAATAACAATTATTGAGAAATAATTAAAAATAATTTCATAACAAATAACAATTAAATGTTTATAAAATTACTTCTAAAATGTGGTTCATGATGAAACAGAAATTAAGCCAATGCTAACATGTAAATCCCTCCTCGGAAAACGAATTTAACTTTAGGAATCTGTCTAAAAAATTAAGAATCATATTGATCTCTAAGTAAACTATATTACTGATTTGCTACAAACACAAATACCTTAAATAATGTTGCTTTGTCTGGTAATAGTGCTTTTATCTTTACTTCTGGATCCAGAGGCAAAGGAATAGGATCAAAGCCAGCAAAATTGAACTTGAAAGTTTCATGGTCTGTTAACAATGCTTGCAATTTTTCAATCTGAAAACACATTTTATAAAAATCATACAATGGTTTCAAAAAGCAGTGAATTAAAGAAAATTACTCTTGGCCTGCTGCTTCCTTAGCTCTAATGAGAAAAAAAATACATCAAATGTTGTTAATTATGTACTATTAATTCAACTTATAATGTTGCCTAGGTTTATATCCTCTTTACTTGACATACCTTCTTTGTTCTACTCCCACTTTCTCTGGTTACCATTTTCACTAATTGGACTAATTTATCTTGAAAGGTTTTCTGTGATGCTATCATTGACCTCATTAGCCTGTATTCTGGGCCAAGCTGGAAAAAAATACAGTTTGATTACTGGGTTTAATGTGTACATTATCTAGGTCCCAATCCATACTGCATACTTGAAAACAACATTCCTATCAACACACATACACACACACATTAATAAAACAAAATACAAATTAAAAAATAATAACAATAGTTTGAACCACAAGTAAAAGTATTCAAGCAATCTCTTACATTAGGCTGCTGATCCATTTTTTTGTTGATGGTAGTTGGCTGACCCAACCATCCAGCTCTAAATAATATAATGTTTTAAGGTACATGCACTTACCCTCATCAAGGCCTGGCTAAATCTCTTCAAAACTGTGATATACATGCTCTTTATCTTTTCATCTTTAGAGGCGGAGTTATCCTGGTCATCACACTCTACCACAAGGTACCTGAATATTGAAAATACTCAATACAAGTGTGCTGTCATCCATAACATTTCCACCTGAATACGTTTATTGAATCTCAAGTTCGGCTGGACAATTTTACAAGATCACAACCTACCAGTATAAATAATTAGCCAATTTAAAGTTCTTTGATGCTCTTGATATGAGGAATGTAGCTAGATCCATCTGAAAATAAAGAGTGAGTTGAAATCAAATTTGGTTGGAAAAAGTCTGCTCTATTTCAAAATTTGATCTAGGTACTATTCCATTTTAAGTTGGGTCAGGAAAAAAAGTTCCATCTTTTCAGAAAAAGAGCTCCCTCTCCCACTTTTGAAACAGCTGGGAACAGGAAGATGACACTACCACTTCATTTTTCAACAGTACTTGAAATTATTCAGGGCTGTTACTCAGTATTAACATACATCTTTTCTCCCAGTTACCACTTCCTTAAAGTCTAAGATAAATATTGATAGTTAAGATTTAGAAAACACGTAACTATAGATTTGTTTGGCTTAAAACTAATGTTGTGGTCAGGGACTCTCCCTGACTCCCTGTGGTCAGGGACTTTAATATGAAAATATCAGATAACATACTTGGTCCTCCAGTCTGTTTTCATCCACTGAGGCAGCTTTGATAGCCTCCATGATATCATCAGGGGATCCAGACTCTCCAGGGGACATGATGGGTGCATTGCTGGTAGTGCTTGCACTCCTGAAAATACAGTAAAGATTCTTTATACACATGTCTATTTTTATATCCATGTTTCAAAATTTTATTTTTTTAAAGTAAATTAGATCATCATTTACACTAGAAAAATTAAAATCAACCTTGCAAAGTATATTAAATTTTGTACATTAACTTGAACTGCTTTGTATGGAAATAGATACATTACAAATTACAGTACCTTGATGTTCTACCGCCTGTGTGATCTCCTTGAATGTGAGAGGTCTTAGTGGACATTGCACTTTCTCCCAATACTGAGCCAGAAACCTGCCGATTGCTTGGAGAAGTTTCCTGGCCTGCTCTGATCTCCTCAAAATTCTCATACTTTAAGGCCTGAACAAGTTGCAGCAGGTAGAGGAGAAGATCCTTAAACACAATATTTAAATGTTTATTTTGCTATGTTGTGTTTTTAAAAAGTAATCTTATATAAATGAAAAATCTACAGTTGTATTTAAACCTACCAAGGTCCTGTGTTTATTTGTTTTGATGATTTGATAGTTTTTTTATTGTCGGATGATATCATTCTGATATAAATATTATACCATGTACTATAATAATTCTACAGCCAATCTAATATGGTACCACTGCTTTGAATCTAGCAAACATGATAACAAGACAAATAACAAATTGCTTGAGACCTTGATTACAATCAAGTGGGAAAATAATAACAGACGACTGAAAAGAATAATGCCACATTTCCTATCTAGTGTATCATGGGTCCAAGCAACAATGAATAATATCCAATCTACCTCATCATCAGCCTGCTGCAGTCTGCTAACAGCATATTTCCTCACTGCAGGATAAGTAAATGCTGGGCACAGAAGCTCCAGAGCATCCTCTGGGTCTATAGGACTCCATTTCTGCATCAGATCCAATGCTTGTTTCACCTCCTGGGGGATGTCCCACTTCACACACTTCAGGAACTTGGTCAAAGCCTAATAGTCAAAAATATAAAAATACATTAATAAAAATAGTTCTTTTCTTTTTTGCTTCTTTTTTGAGTTTGACATTTATCAGGACTTCAGGAAACATGCACACAATCAAGTATTGATATGATACATTGTTCACTTATTTTCAAAGCAATACAACAGAATGTTTTTTTGAATTAAAAAATAGGTGGTACTGAAGCTCAGGGTAAATTTGGTTTAACTGCCCTTGTTTTGTAATCACAAAAGAAAATATCAAATAAATTTATCTGAAAATATTTTATTTGCAAATTATGTAGATACAAATTCAACAATGATTTTTATGAATAAATACACAATATTGTCATATTAAGTTATACTGTCCATCCAACACATGAAAATGTATATCCAGTTCACTTAATGTTACTTACTTTTTTCTTTTCTGAGAGATAAAATCTGAACTTCCACAACAAATCTTGTTCCTCTGATGTCAAGGTTTTAGTCGGAGGATATCCAAGTATAGTCTGAGGAGAGAATTGTGAAAATATCACAATTACCACACAATAAATAAACTACTATTCATCCCATTTCACCATTCACATTGTTGCCTTCTGGAAATAAGTTTTGGAAAGGAAAAGTGAAGGGGTGGAGAAGAACCCCCCAACCCACCCAGAATATACAATGTGAATGGAAACTATCACTTCAGTGCATCAAATAACATTTGAAGAAATACTTACATTCAGTTGATCCCTGTTGCCTGCATTAGGTTTCAAGTCCCTATCTGTCCTCAGACTACGAGCCAACTTATGATGTTTGCTTTCAACTAAGTTTTCCTAAAAGTACAATCTGAGTGCATAAAACCACCTTCAAAACTGGCCAAAATATTAACTTAACAAATAAAATGCATAAGAGCTATGTGAGATAAAAGCATTAAAATCCATCCTTTACATTTTAAGGATCTCTGCAATGGCTTTATTTGTGCATTTAACAGTAAAATTGCTCCCACTTTTATACGCACTGAATGCATTTATATTTAAATTTCTTACTAGTGATATTTCAGCATCTGGCACAGAGACAATGTCAGCATTTGTCCTCACTGGAAGAATTTCATCCCCTCCCTGAAGTTTTATGATAAAAAGAGACAGATGAAGGAGTTGTTAAAAGAGCTACTTTGAAAGTAAAAATATTTAAAGGTGTAAATTAAGCATGTATTAATTTGCACTTTATGATAATATTTTAATTCTGTGCATTCAGTAAGTAAAATAACAACATATCTAAGTATAATTGAAACTTGCGTGACTTTAAACACATCTAACTGATTGAAGAAAAACTTTAATTTTTAAAATTTTATTTACAAGAAGCATGTGTTGCCTCATGAAAGCTAACCTTCTCAAAGTAAACAACTGCAAACTCTGTTCCTTCATAATGAATCAGTGGGAATTCTACCATGAGGTACATGAAGTTTGAATCTCTTTTCTGCTTTTCATTAATCATCTCTATTTCCCTAAAGGTCAGCCTGTCTAGCCAGTCCACCTTCAGCATGTGTCCATCTTTGTGCTTTATGCTCAGCTGTAAAAATGTGAACCCATCACATTAATACAGTGTCCAATACTACATAAATAACCAAATTGTCTTATATGAAATTTCTAACAGACAAATGTTAAAGGTACCATACTATAAGGTATTACACACACACACACAAAATCTGCAAATGCCTGAATGACAGGAAAAAATTAAGCAGCAATCCAACCAATTGCTATCCACCATCTTATAAAATTCATAAAAGTTTTAGTAACAGCAACACTGGTCAAATAATTTTTTCAAGAAATGAGTATTATATCTACAGAGATAATGAGACTTATTCAATCCTACACCTTAGCCAGTCTGCTCATTTCATCTTTTGACCCATCTATCTTGCCTGGAGTGGTGGAACCAACATGGCCATCTGCTTCCAAGTCTGGCCATACTTTTAAGTCATGCATTCCCTGACGGAAAGTTCTGTAAATGCCCCCAAAAAAACAAGCCTTACACTTTTACACTAAGTATTTTTGTAATCATACCAGCTATAATTTATCAAATTTTGTGGGTTGCAGTGATTTCAATGTACTGATATAAAGACTTTTAAATGTGAAACAGACTAAAATATGCAAGCAACCACATGATATTTCATTTCTTCTTTCTTCAACTGACTTATATGGGTTTTACAAAATAACACCCATTTAAAAAAATGGACTGTTAAAAATTGTTGACTCTTAGAAAGAAAAAAATTTGCCCAGATAAAGCTATAAATCTAAAATGCAAAGAAACATTGTTTTTAAATTACCCATGTTTTCCAAACAATGGCATTGTGGTTCCCCCTACTGGAATGGCATTCCTGGGACCATAGATATCCCATATTGTAAAACAGGCCAAGGCATTCCGAGGAAGGTCACTGTACTTCACAGGCAGTGTTAACCATTCATTCCAACTGAAAATGGATGGAAAATGAAAATAATAAAGTTCTAGTTATTGTGTTTCCTTGTACAATTTAACGCACATTTTAGTTTACATCAGATGAAATGTTTTTGGTAACTACCTAACAGTAAAATGCTAATATAAAAACACACACGTAAGTTTATTCAATGCCAATCTCACATGAGAAGTTTATAATGAACAAAGTGGTAAGCAATAAATGCAGGCCCGTAGCCAGCAATTTCAAAAGGGGGGTTCTTTTACTGAAAAAGTGGACCTTTTCCCATAAAAACTTTATGTACCTAGATCAAATTTTACCCAGAGTGGACCTTTTCCCAGCAAAAGGGGCGGTTCTTTCGAACTCCCCAAACCCCCCTGGCTACGGGCCTGAAATGAACATTTAATATATATCTATGCAACAGAATTATTGATAATACCANCGCACTGAATGCATTTATATTTAAATTTCTTACTAGTGATATTTCAGCATCTGGCACAGAGACAATATCAGCATTTGTCCTCACTGGAAGAATTTCATCCCCTCCCTGAAGTTTTATGATAAAAAGAGACAGATGAAGGAGTTGTTAAAAGAGCTACTTTGAAAGTAAAAATATTTAAAGGTGTAAATTAAGCATGTATTAATTTGCACTTTATGATAATATTTTAATTCTGTGCATTCAGTAAGTAAAATAACAACATATCTAAGTATAATTGAAACTTGCGTGACTTTAAACACATCTAACTGATTGAAGAAAAACTTTAATTTTTAAAATTTTATTTACAAGAAGCATGTGTTGCCTCATGAAAGCTAACCTTCTCAAAGTAAACAACTGCAAACTCTGTTCCTTCATAATGAATCAGTGGGAATTCTACCATGAGGTACATGAAGTTTGAATCTCTTTTCTGCTTTTCATTAATCATCTCTATTTCCCTAAAGGTCAGCCTGTCTAGCCAGTCCACCTTCAGCATGTGTCCATCTTTGTGCTTTATGCTCAGCTGTAAAAATGTGAACCCATCACATTAATACAGTGTCCAATACTACAGGGTAAATAACCAAATTGTCTTATATGAAATTTCTAACAGACAAATGTTAAAGGTACCATACTATAAGGTATTACACACACACACACACAAAATCTGCAAATGCCTGAATGACAGGAAAAAATTAAGCAGCAATCCAACCAATTGCTATCCACCATCTTATAAAATTCATAAAAGTTTTAGTAACAGCAACACTGGTCAAATAATTTTTTCAAGAAATGAGTATTATATCTACAGAGATAATGAGACTTATTCAATCCTACACCTTAGCCAGTCTGCTCATTTCATCTTTTGACCCATCTATCTTGCCTGGAGTGGTGGAACCAACATGGCCATCTGCTTCCAAGTCTGGCCATACTTTTAAGTCATGCATTCCCTGACGGAAAGTTCTGTAAATGCCCCCAAAAAAACAAGCCTTACACTTTTACACTAAGTATTTTTGTAATCATACCAGCTATAATTTATCAAATTTTGTGGGTTGCAGTGATTTCAATGTACTGATATAAAGACTTTTAAATGTGAAACAGACTAAAATATGCAAGCAACCACATGATATTTCATTTCTTCTTTCTTCAACTGACTTATATGGGTTTTACAAAATAACACCCATTTAAAAAAATGGACTGTTAAAAATTGTTGACTCTTAGAAAGAAAAAAATTTGCCCAGATAAAGCTATAAATCTAAAATGCAAAGAAACATTGTTTTTAAATTACCCATGTTTTCCAAACAATGGCATTGTGGTTCCCCCTACTGGAATGGCATTCCTGGGACCATAGATATCCCATATTGTAAAACAGGCCAAGGCATTCCGAGGAAGGTCACTGTACTTCACAGGCAGTGTTAACCATTCATTCCAACTGAAAATGGATGGAAAATGAAAATAATAAAGTTCTAGTTATTGTGTTTCCTTGTACAATTTAACGCACATTTTAGTTTACATCAGATGAAATGTTTTTGGTAACTACCTAACAGTAAAATGCTAATATAAAAACACACACGTAAGTTTATTCAATGCCAATCTCACATGAGAAGTTTATAATGAACAAAGTGGTAAGCAATAAATGCAGGCCCGTAGCCAGCAATTTCAAAAGGGGGGTTCTTTTACTGAAAAAGTGGACCTTTTCCCATAAAAACTTTATGTACCTAGATCAAATTTTACCCAGAGTGGACCTTTTCCCAGCAAAAGGGGCGGTTCTTTCGAACTCCCCAAACCCCCCTGGCTACGGGCCTGAAATGAACATTTAATATATATCTATGCAACAGAATTATTGATAATACCAGACTGAGGCTGAGTGTTCTTTGTCCTGGTTTGTCTACCACAGTTAATTATCCAACCAGTATATAATACGCATGTGACTGAGTCATATGCAGAAGTTGGCATAATGATCACATCAGGTCATATGAATAAACTATAATTATGCTTTCTATACAGGCATAGCAGTGACATTTCCTAATACACTAACTATAAAACAAAATATGAAACAATAAAAAATCTATACATTTTTCTATTAAATACCTACTCAATCATCAACAAGTAAATCCCCTCACACTAAAACAAAATTACCCATAGCAGCTGTATGTAAAATCTTCTCTGACTGGAAAGAATGATACAACCTAGATGATAAGTAAAGATAAAAATTTAAACAATTTAGTCGATCTATCACCAATTTGTCCAACACGTGTTTTTATTTCCTATTTACTCATGTCAGCATGGTTGACCCCAGCTTTTGTAGTGGCACTTACTTCCATCTGGTACTGAATGCCTTGTATGCTGTCCTCACTGGCAGAGTGAGAGGTTTGCCATCTGCATACACCTGGCAGGTGACATACAGGTCAGAGCAGCTGTCCTTACAGGCTCCAGAGAACCTCAACAATGGATCATTTACCAACTGCTTATATCCAGGCCTGTCACGCTTCCCTTCAAGAGTACCACTGAAAAATATACAACAGTTTAAGATGCACAGTGTCATACTTTTTGCCTTAAAAATTTGTACTTAAGAGATTTTCCTGGAATAAACAGTAATCTACTTCATCTTAGTAACCTTCAATTCTCCTTTCTTGAAACTCACCAAATACCAATCTGGGAAAATTAAAAAGTCTTTATCTATGCTTATAAGTAATGGTTATTCAAATTCCGCCATAACTTTGGCTTAGTTCTAGCACTGGTTTTGTGCGATGCAATACTGTATCTAGATTGTTGACAGGTAGTTCAGTTTATCAGGATTAAAGGGGGAAAATTTAATTTAATCTAATTTAATTTTTATTTATTAATTATTTTTTTATTTTAGATGACATAAAATACACTTAAAAACAGGAGAGCTTTAAAACAATTTTCTTTTATTTTATGCAATCATCATATACTCATTTCACGAAATAATTGCTTGTTGCATTTCATTGAAGACTGCTGTCAATGCATCAAAAACTCACATGAATAACTGTCTGTGTTTTATTTAGCATTTAATCCTTGATGTGTTTAACGAAATTGTATCATGTTTAACTAAGCCAATTAAAATGGTGCAAATTAAAATCTTCACAAAAGCGTAGAGGAACTATCGTAAATCAGAACTGTACGTTTACAGTATTTCAGTATATGAGATCATAATGAATGACAGAACTCCGTTTAAATGGTGTGTCACTGACTGTACAATGCACACTGCAGCAGTGTTTTAGTGACTGTGTCTTCGGAAGAGCCCTCGCTGAGAAAATAATTTAGTGAAGTAAAAATGGGCTATTTGCAGAGTTATCGTTCTTAGTGACTATGAACTAATAACTTAACGGCAAACTCAGCATTTTAAGTCTATACTTACATTTTAAGCTGTACATTCACATCTAAATCACAGCTATATACGTAACAAAATCTTTCAGGAAGATCCCCCATCTTTCTGGCACCGTTAGATGTCGCTGGTGAATGCGACTCAAGATAGATCACCATCAACTTTTAAACAGGTGCGTGAAAGTACATGAATATTGGAATAGGTCGTCAAAATTGAGTCAGAGTCACAGTATTGATAATTTAAATTTTCTGGCATCATTTTATATCTAAAACATATGACAAAAAGACACTAAATGCCGTTTGCAATAAGCGTATCTTGCCAAAACTTCTGACACAGCCCCGAAGAAGGTTCATAATAAACAACATCATGGAAGGAAATCAACGCGTTTCTGGTGCTCTACAACAGTGCGATTTGACAAGTGTTATGAATGAGTGGACTGAAATAATTGAACACGTGTTACAGTTTCTTCCTGGTGCATCACTTGAAGTTTGTAAACGGTTAGGAAACGTGTTTTCATCCAAATTCTTTATAATCATGCGTAGTACTAGTAGTAGAGTCGCTTCTTTCTACCCCAGTAATGAGCTAGATACTTGTAATGTAATGCACAGATAGCCACATATTTGGATATGATGAAACCGTTTTAAGTTTTAATCCAGGTCATTAAGACCAAAAATTAAATAAGTTTTAGTGACACCATGCCCGTCATTTTTTTTTCCGACGCCACTTTCAAAAATAGGTCAAAAGTTTCCCCATTTGATTTTCACCTCGTAAATAATGTCTTAGACCCCATTTCCAGAGATTAGATCGATCTACTTTAGATCGACCTAACTCCCTGGGGGTTCATGCTAAATAGCTGTCAGCTGAGCGGACACGAAAGTTAATTACCCCCTTACAGCTTGTAATAGGCAGGACGGACATTTAAGCTGGATTATCTGACAGTAAGCTAGTGAGACTCCCCGCGGGGATAGATCGATCTAAAAGCTCTGGGAATACAGCCTTAGGGTGCTTTCCCAGAGATTTAGATCGATCTAAAGATTAAGTTTTAGATCGACCTAACACCCTGGGGGTTCACGCTAAATTGCAGTCAGCCGAGCGGACACCATAGTTAATTACCCCCTAACAGCTTTTAGTAGGTGGGACAGACGCTTAAGCCGGCCAAGCTGACAGTAATCTAGTGAGACTCCCCACAGGGATAGATCGATCTAAAAATCTATGGAAATGGGGTGTTAGAAATTTGAAATTTACCACATAAGATGTAGAGGAGCTAGTCGTATACAACAAATTAAAATTTTGATATTAGCGTTTTCCCAAGCAGAGTTATTTGTTTGCGAATTAGACAAAGTGATAAAAATTTGGGGCACATATGCCGGCTTGTGCAATATGCATTAACACAGTGTACTGAATATCTTTCAAAGTGTATGCAGTAGAGTTTGACAATTAATCATTTAATTGGCTAAATTGGGAACAAGAAGGGGGGCATGTAGCAAAAAAAAAAAAAAAAAAAATACAAAATACAAAAATATTTGCCAAAATTTCCCCAAAAATCTGACATGCTGGTTAAAAACCTGAGTCCTTATTCTTCTATGTGGCTTATTTTTCAAGTCTACCCAACAACCAGACTCGGCAGCGAATGATCCTGAATTCACCGATAGGTCGTTTTCAAGGTGTGCATCAGTTCACTTTTCATAGTATCATACCCCGGAACAAATTTTGAGATGAGATGCACTACTTTCCAACCCCACTCAGAATCATTGCTATCATATGGCATACTAGGCAAGAGTGGTGTCGTGTCTGATACTGCATAGTGAGTACTGACCCACACCTTGAAAAGGGGTAGTGTGGTCCGATCTACCAGTGAATTCTGGATCATTCGGTGTTGAGTGTGGTAGTTGGGTAGGTCTATATTTTGTCTTGCCTGACTTAGCTGAATTAAAAGAATCAGTTAAAAGGTTTGCACTTAAAATTTTCACTTGACCTTTCCTATATCATCAAAACGGTACCCAAGAGGAAGTAAGAGCATGTCAGGAACCACAGTATAGAAAAGTGTAGATAGTATTTTTAAAACTTTCATACATGATGTAGTATTAATTCAATCAGAGGAAGCCATTGTTTGATAAAATTCACACATAGGAAGTCAAGTTGTACTGTAAGTACACCTTGTACCGTTTGTAGTGTTACATGTATGGGGCAGCATGTATCATGTACTGGGGTAAAGCCATCAAATTGGTCATTTCAATAGCTTTGCCTTTGCATTTGTTACCGTTATCAATAGTATCCACAATACTTTTCCAGCCCATTTGTCCTGCCCAAATATATATACGTTGCCCAAATAGTTACATATCAGACATGTATGTCTCAGATACCCAGTATTTATTGCCACTGTTATTCTACTAATAATTGCCAAATAATTAAAACTTCAAAATTATTTTTTAAAAACAGGTATACCAAAGTAATAATTTCAAGTTCATAGATATGCTGACTTAGAAATTCTTATTTTGATGAATTTTTGTGGGACTTTGCATTTTTACAACTTATGCCAAATCAACAAAACTAGCTGTTTTATTTGGACACCAAGCAATTGTCTCCTCTACCAGCTACAATGTAATAGGTTTTTGCTTGTGCTGGGGTTTTAAAGAATTGTTATTGCCAATATCTGTTGAATTTCTTGTCTTAATTAAAAAATTCTAGAAATGTAGACAGGTGTCAGATTTTTTTTTCATTTCTTCTGTTTTCAGGGTTTGTAGAAACTGGAAGGAAATAGCAGACAGAATTCTTAAGAACCGTATTCCAAAAGTGCAACCCATTTTATATGGCTGGCACAGAGAAGACAAGAGTGGACCAAGCTCCTTTAAAGCTGTAAAGCTGGAAGGATGTAGGCAGTTTAAGGATGCTACAGGAGAGAGGATACAGGTTATTATAGAAATTTTAATGAATGATATTCTTTGTTGTTATTGTCTTTTAATCTTTCCATTTTTTACTATTGTTTTTATTCATTTTCTTTTTGTTTTTAAATCTAAATGGTGCTATATTGATAAATTTTTTTAAAACTGTTGCATATGTTTTTCCTTAAAAAATATTTTCAGAACGTATGTGGCTAAAATACATTATGTGTATATGGAAGTCTATTGCAAGTGTATTATGCTGCTTGAGTTTATCAAGAGTGAACATTTTTTGTTTTTGCAGTGGCTTCCTCTGCCACCTAAGGTGACAATAATGTTTGTCAACAATGAAACCTGGGAAAAAGTTAGTATCCCGATGAGCTGTGAAGCTCCGTCCAATGTAACGCCTACTAAATCAAACAAGAAAATACGATGGAGCAGTTATAAGCTAACCATTGAGGAATACATCAATAAGAGATTACCTTCAAACTGCCCAATTCTGGGTGCAGTGGCGGGGGGAGCCATAGGTGAGGAGAAACTGATACTGTGAGAACTCTTACATAGTGGCCATAGTGCAGCTGTGTGAATGCTTGGATTACTGGGTGATCCCACCACAGCTCAGACTTGAATATTTGGTTAACTAAACGGAGACTGTTTTTAGAACCAGTTTTATTTTTACGTAGCCAACTAACTGAATACACTAAGTTTAATTTGCTGTTTATTTCAGTTTGTTATATTTCTATCTAAAATGTGGGTCTGAGTTTGTACATTTTTGTTTTCAACAAATTAATTATTTTAAAAGTATATTTTCCATAATTTTATACAATGAGTATTTTCACTAAATCTATTTAGATTGATTTTAGTAAGATATCCATAAAATATTAGTAAGTTTTTGGCATGGTGAACTTGATCTTGTGCTTTGTTTAAGTTTTTTTTNTATCTAAAATGTGGGTCTGAGTTTGTACATTTTTGTTTTCAACAAATTAATTATTTTAAAAGTATATTTTCCATAATTTTATACAATGAGTATTTTCACTAAATCTATTTAGATTGACTTGAGTAAGATATCCATAAAATATTAGTAAGTTTTTGGCATGGTGAACTTGATCTTGTGCTTTGTTTAATTTTTTTTTTTTCAGTTTCAGTTTTGACTACCCTTTTAGTACAGTATATACAGTAAATGTTAATGATTTTGCAATATTCCAGGCACCCCCATGAGTTTGGGACCATCCTTGGAAATAGAAAGTGGTCCTGGTTGTGCTATAGCATTTATACCTGAAATTCCTGGGTTGGAAGTGCATCATTTTCTCCTGCCATTTGGTAAAATATTTTAAGTGTTATTAATCATAAATCACTTAATTCAGTGAATAAACATAAGGTAGAGTCAAACTTAATAACAATAAATCTTTGCCTTTTTAAAAAAATCAGTGGTAGATGTCTATTAACATTATTGTCAATCTGATAATGTGTATTAACAGATTTGCCCTTTTTAGTCATTGGTATTCTTAAGTTTTAAATATATTTTTGTTTGTTCTAATATTAGATTATGATTCAGAAAATCTTCCCACAAAAGAAGACTATGAAAACATGACAGGAATCTCCAGAGATAAGCACATTAAGGCAATGATACTGCTGCAGGCATCTGAATATGATGTCCCCTTTGATGCTGCACATTGTTTTTGGAGCCTGAACAGAGACATTGCTATTGCTGGTGGCAAAGTTGACAACATCATTGCCCCTGATTTGGATAAAAAGAGGTATTGAAGAAAAAATATGTATATTATCCTTGGATCTGTCCAGATTTGAGAAACCATTTTAAAGTAGCCCATTGCTTCAAATTGATTGCATCATTTATATTCTGCTTTATTTAGATGTAGTTCCTTCTTAAATTGCTTTTTTTTTTGTTTTTGTTTTTCAGCGAAGATGAGGCATGTATCTTAGGTATTGCATTTAGCGGAGATAATGTTCAAGCAGCCAGTGTTATGGTAGAAAGCCATATCAGAGATCCTAAGGAAGTAGAATGTCAAATAAAGAAACTGAAAGATTGCAACATTTCAGAAGAAAACAGTTTTGCATTCATGTTTGCTTGCCTCGGCCGAGGATATTATTTTTATCGTAAATCAAATGTGGAGGCTGATATATTCCGAAAGCTTTTTCCTAGAACTCCATTATTTGGCTTCTTTGGAAACGGAGAAACAGGCTACAACTTTTTGCCAGATTATAGCAAAACAGATCCATATGTGGAAACAAAAAACAAGAACTATACTTTTGGAAGTTTTGATCATGGTTATACTACCATATTTTGTTTGATATCTGTCAACCCCACTTTGCCTGTCTAGGCTACTCTACTTAATGTTTATAAATACAAATGTGAAAGATAGTCATCATATTTGTTTCACTTTGATATACAGAGGCTATTGATAGATTGTCCCTATTATTGGGATCATTGAGTTGACTCAGATGAAAAGATGTTGTACTTGTTATATCACTCTATTAAATAGTATTTAATTCTGGATAATATTGCAGTCACTGCCAGCATAGTGCTGCCAGCAAATGTTTCCTACATTGATAGGGCAGAGTTTGTCAGTTTGACAGTGATGGGAGTTAATTTCAAAATAGATGAAATATAGGTTCCAATCATGCACTGATCAGACTCAGAATATTGATCCATATTTAACAAATGTGCAAACGCTCTATTTTGTGGGGCAAAACGTATTTAAGTCACATTTTTTGGAGTGCAAGTGAATCAGCTCTTTTTATTGTTGTCTGTGACAACCCTGGGGAAGTAATATGTAGTTTTAAGCTGCCGTATATTACATTTATGTATATAATGGTGTGTTTATGTATTATTATGAACAGATTGTATGAGATGTTTTAACTAGTCTGGGATGAGCTCATGTATGCAGAAAAGTAATGAAAGACATTAATTTTACTGTTGTAGGTCATGTACAGGCACAGAAAACAAAATCAGCTAAAATTTGCAACATTGACTCAATTTTGGTGTTTTTAGAGACTTAGGATTGTGACAAAGAGCAACAAGTTTACAACTAAATAAGAAAGGGACATTGAGGCTTTAATAAACTTGGATTGATGTGCATCATCACTTTAAATAGAAATTCCCCTTTTTTGCTGAAAATGTGGTTCACATTTTTCAGAAGATACTTTAATTCACTGAAGATCATAGAATTATTTTTGTATTGTTATGTACAAGAGCAAAGTGTATGCAATTTTCTGTAAATCTACATGTACATGTACAAAAGTTGGATTTGGATAAGAATCGACTCAGATGAAAAATGCTGAAATAAATTATAAAATCTTTTGAAATTATGCGTCATAGAAAGCATCTCACAGTAATGTGTTCTAACATAAGTTTGGTAGGTGTCCTGTGCCCATTACGTTGATACAAAAGTGAGAAATATAAACAGAAAAAATAATCGTGTCGACCAAAGAAATGACAAAAAATCTTGACCTGATTTTTTAAAAAGCGGTTTATTACCTGCTTGGTCAGTGTATTACCCGTCGTTTCACAGATTGTATTTCACATTGGCCTCCAACTGTTCGCCTGAATATTTCAAGAGACATTCCCCAGAAGCAAAAATCGACTTATTGTGAAACATAGCTTCACCTGAGAACACAATTAATTGAGATTCGTGCGATATTGCAAACTGTTCATCCTGAGGTGCAATTAAGCGCTTTAAATATGAAGTAATGTATTTTTATTTGAAATTAAAATCGTGTCTTACTGCACGTATATATTTACAAGCATAAGAAACGTGCTATTAAATTTTCACGTAGTTTGTTTAAGGGGTTGTTTTTGGTCCAGACTCGCACTAAAGAGATACATGTAGTATCAGTAAGATGACATCTACATGTACTTACCCAACCTTTACTGGGAAAGTGCGCGCTCACGACTAAATTAACCCATTTACAAACTTAAGAATGGAAATTGATTATTCGATTGATTTACTTATTTTTCTTCGGTACCAAACCGTGGCATAAATACTTAATAGACGACCTTTGGGGCTGTATATACGACTCTCTTACGTACAGTGTACATTTCAAATCATTCTTGTTCCAAAGGAGCGTCATATCTACTGCTTAATCTTGTGTATCGACCACGGGAACTGGAGCACGGTGTCATTTTACTGACGGTCACCATTGTCATTAGATCATCTGCCACTTTGTCTGCATCCTCGGAATCCTGGTACTGATGGAGTTGCCGTTCCTGTGTGCGAGGGGGTCTGAACCCTTTCAAACTTTGTGTCGTTTTTGGCGGTCTGGTCCCTGCGTAAGTCTTGAGGTTATATCCCAAATCTATGGCAGACGATCCCGTTAGTTCTTTAAAGAGATCTAGCGTCGGAAAGATAATACTTTCGCTCTCTATTGACCTTGCAAGTTTATCACTTTCTAAGGATTTGGAAAGTTTTTCACTTTCAATTGAAGTGGGTAATTTTTCAAAGTGAGGTTCCAATTTGAGTAGTTCATCTTCTTTTTGTGGTTCAGAATTCTTCAAAAAATTGTCATTTTTCTCTTTCGTTGCTGCTGCTACAGCGTCTATTTCCTTATTTTCATCTTCGATTTCAATCTTATGAGAAGGCTGATTGTGTTCCTCGACAGTGTTGTCCGTGCGTCCCTCTGTGATAAAACTTGGATCGCCTTGTGGCAGATCCTCATTACTAGTGTAAACCAGCTGTGGCTTTGGCTTTGATGGCTTATTATTTATGATGGGCATGGTTTGGTTCCGGAATAAATATCCAGTGAGGTATGGTTCCTTTGGTCCTTTTGGGTAGAGAGATTTTTGAAAAGTAATTTGCTGATATCTTATTTTGCTCTGTTTTTTCTTCATTTTGGGAAGGCGACTGAATCCTTCAGACAACTTCGATTTATATAACAACCCCTGAATCAGAAAAAGAAATTAAAAGTAAGTACAAATTATATTTAGTCAGTGTACTCAAAAGTGAAAATAAGGTTTTCTTTCAACAGCGTTTCACGTATACGTAACCTCCTCCCCTCTTCCTCAGCCACCCCCACAAATAAAAGCTCGACCAATGCTGGATTAAAAGAAAAAAGCTTAATAAATGCCTGATAATGAAAAAGATCATTAGTTCGAAGTTTTGATCTTTCTGTCAGCAAAATTTCTAAAGTAATAGGGGCCTATACCTTTATTCGTTCACTGTACTCTTGTACGAATGAATGTGCAGGGGTACTCATCATGCGAGTTACAAAGATTTCTAATGCATAACAACTTAATTTTTGTTAAACTAAAGATAAAACAATTTGAGTTTTACTATAGAAGATGTGTTTGTATTGATTTTTATTTGTTCTGGTTTGTAATATATACCCGTTTGAAATATACAAAAGCTTAAGTATAAGATCAGGTTAAAGCTCACCGATGCCCTATAAAAACTCTTGTTTTCAAATATTTAAACATTATAATCCAAAAGAGAAGCCAAAAGGAAATATCGATTACGATATCTAATCCCTCAAATGGGAATTAGACGCCAAAAAATAAAAAGACAGAAAATTCCACATTTTCCTCCTTTTCAATATTTGGTAGCTGGCTATGTTTGTTCTGTAGCTTAATGTGCAGGGGAATGCTTGGTTTCAGTTTAGGTAAATACAGTGGATCTCCTCCGTTGATACCATGTGGTTCATAGATCTTCCACGTAAAAAGCTTCGTCTTGTGGTGCTATTAGAAATGAAAGGAATTTAGGTATTAATAGTTTCTTTTGTGTTAATAATTAAAGAGAAAACTGAACAATGTCGAAAAATAAATTTAATTTTTGAACCCTCTGTCCACTGATGGTTCAGAGGGTTGAATAGCAGACATTTTAACTAGGTATTTTCTGTTTTGCTGAGCATGAGCCCATATCGGCATATCGGTAGTAGTTCAGTTGTATACGAAAGTCTTTCGTGTCATTAAAATTTTCATAAAATAAATGCCATTTTTCACAAATAAAGTGTTGATATTGAACGCAGTTCTAAAAGAAATCTGAAAGACATTAGGCTTTTAGGTATATTAAAAATAAAGTTGACCAAAGAGCTGCATTGATTATTTTGCATAGCTCACAGAGTTTGTAAAAGTAGTTTAAATTCGAAGATTGAAAGTTAAAGTACTGATGATTCATCGAAAAAATTTCATTAAAACGAACGTTGCTATATAACAAACATATGCATCTGGAATATAAATATAATATCAATCAAGTCGTTATATTTATATGCATCTGGAATATAAATATAACGACTTGATTGAATCCTAGAAACATACCGCCACTTTCCTGGGGTTTCCTATCATCGTGCCGTCCTGTACTGTCACCTGCGGTAGGACCAGAGACACCCGCATTGTAGATTTGTTCACGTCCGAATACAAGTTCCTCATATTGCATTAAAAACACACTTTTCTGCTTCTACATGTTTGGAATCGTCCGTTTAAGTCCTTACAAACCTTTTGAAGAGATACAAAATGAACAGCTTTTCCGCACAATTTTAGGTTGCTATGGAAAAATCTATACCGATGTATTCCCAAGGGGGAACGCTGGCGGAAAGCTTAGGCCTGCTCCATGTTAATGGTTTCCGTCTTCAATGGCAACAAGTTTACCTAGCGGTTACCTGATACTTCCTTTGTGCGGAGATTTTGTGGTCAAAACCTCAGTTTTTGCCGTCAATACAAATCCTTAGTCGTCCCAAGTAGTCTTTCAGTAGACCAGTACAAATCGTACGTCAAATGACTACTCTGCGCTGTTTTTTAAGGTGTAAATTGTTTGTAATTATGGTTTGCCCCCTGCAGCCAGAAAAATCTCTGGGTTATCACGATTTTTTCAAAGCATTCTACTTCTGAGTGTTCTAAGTCAAGACCGCTGTTTTGTAAGCCCTACAAGGAGACTCTAAATGGCAATGCAACTCACAAATGCCGCAGTTAGAATACAAAAGCAACTGGTCCCCTACGCGACCTTCACAAATTGAGGCATAAAGACCCACCATTCACCGTTTGTTGTGTTGTTGGGCTTACGAAAACTTTTGAAAATCACCGAGCTATGCAGAAGGCATCATAAAGGAACCCATTTATCTGAAGAAAATCTACGACAATGAAAACGAAGGGATCGTAAAACTCTATTCCAACTCAAAATATTAGTAAACAAGTAACACAATACGGTCTCTCAGCCGAGAGATTTGAATGTGTATTGTTGGTCTATTATGCACCAGTTTGTGCGGAAAATGGAAAGCGCAGGTTAAAGAGCCATTCCCTAATGCACTTCATTTATATAGTAATATGAACCAAACTATTCAATACAAATTCGTGCAATATTTATACTTTTAATTGCATAACCTAGTCTACTGGCCCCACCAAGTGTTTGTTTGAAATTTTATTTCTGGACACTGACCCCCGACTCCCCAAGTTATAGAGCAAATAACAGTTAACACGACGCTTACATCAGCCAACCCCTCTTTTTTTTTTTTTTTGCGTTTACATGCTCAGACATAGTTGTTAATAAGGAATTCAATACTTATATGGGGAAGTTTTTATTTTGGATCACTAACATTTTTAATCGCCGCATTGCACACAATGACTTTTTAGAGCCTCCCCCACACCGTTAAAACGTAATTAGAAACCCCTGCTTTAACTGAGATGTGCATGACGTTTCTAGATCGAAACTAGTTTCGCATATTTAATAAAGTTTTAAAAATAAAAGCCCCGGTAACTAGAGACCACACCTTAAAAAGTGCAACCGTTCAAGGCGACAGACGGCAGTGGATTTCGTTCGCGCAAGACGATATTAAAAAAAAGATACTAAAAACTTTCACTGGCGTTTTGGTCGAAAGGAAACAGTAGACAGCAAATTGTGATAAAAGTTGCGATAAAGGTCTGATAAATATTTGGGCCAATACTGCATTATCACAATTTTTAATCTTCGTGACAACTTTCCCAGCATTTGTAAAGCCAACCGGGCACCGAAATTATACTTCACGAACGATTATACAGAGCACTGAATGCAGGTGAAGACTGTCATTAAAAAATACGAAAGCACAATCAAAAATCTGCTTCATGGAGTATTTGTGCCACTTATTCTCGATTTCTCTCCGACCAGGGGTAGAGTATCAATTTTTCTTATCAACCACATTATTTCTGTAATAAAAGGGCTTTAAAATATTATTTGCATAAATGCACTGGTTCAATTACAGTCAATAGTATGTTCTTATTCTGAAGTTCAAATACAAAGAAATAAAGAAAACATATAAGAATAAATATTATAAATTAAACACGTAAGACTAGATACGGTCTGAAATATGAGCAAATAAAAATTCACAATTTCCAATCAACTGCTCATTAACGTGTTTACTAGAAATACCACAACAATTGTCAATTCAATGAAGTAAATGTCAGTTATTGGCACTTTTCATGTTCAAAGTCCTACGCGATCTGGGTCTTTGCTCACTCTCCCCGACCTTGTTGACTTCCAGTTTTGCACCTACATTAGAAGTATTAATTATGGGGGAATTCATCAAACCCAACAGGCCTATTGCTGACACTGGCGAATATTTAGGAGAAGACTGCTTTTCTGATCCCTGGGGACTCGCTGTTTGTAAATCGGCAACATCACTGACCGACTTTCCTTTGCTTGACTGAATGTAGGGTTTACTTATGCTATTCTCCACATTACTGTTCAACTCATCGCAGTGATGGGAACTACCACTGACAATGTGACAAACGTCACTACTAAATGATCTCAAGCGCCCTTTCCTCAAGCTGTAAATTCGCTGATGCATTGGTGATCCAACAGCCTCAACTCCATCAAGGAGTAAATCAGAATTTGTAGTGTTTTGCACCATCACCGCCCTTTTATGACTACTATAGGAAAAGGTCGAATTTGTCTCATTTTCATTAAGAAATTCATCTCCACTTTCCATTGAAATGCTGTCAGAACTGTCCTCTGTATCAAAATGGGAAGATTGAGTGTTAGTGCGCAGCCTTTTGGACGTTCTCATCTCATTTGGAGATGTCCATGTACGTTTTCTACTAAGCACCTTATTTTCTTTCAATGAGTCATCCGAGGAGACATCCCTGCATATGTCACCAGCTAGAACTGGTGGACTACGCTTTGTTTGGTGGGGTTCAACTACAGTATCCTTAACATGTCCTCTACTCACTCTCTCTGGCAACCATCCTTGTGTGTTAAAGCTTTCCTTAGATGACTGGCTGTCAAATGACCTGCTATGACGTTTTAGGACCCGCCTTTTCTCAGCAAACTCCTTATTTGATAAAAGTGAGTCTTCTTCAGCCTCCTGTATATCTTTTCTGCATACTTCTTTTTCAATTGTAGTTCCTTCTGAAATTTCATTACTTGACTTAAGGACCCGTTTTGCAACATTTATATTATACTGAATTGCAGACTCTGGATCAAATAAGCTGTACCCCTGGTCTTCAGCAGCTTTGAAATGGATGACACTTTCATCATCACTCATTTTCCCTTCCTGTGCAGCCTTTCTGGTTTTCCTATGACTGGGGCTGAGAAATACCATGTAGTCATGAAAAGAAAGAGAACTGTTTTCATTTTGATTTTGAGACAGCATAGAATTGTCCTTGCATCCCTTCTCTGCAGTTTCTGAATCATCATCTTTTGCAATAACATTACCCTCGCCATAGTTGCCCAAGTTGCCATGTGATGGTGAAGGGCCATTACTGATCGACCTTCTACTTTTTTGCCTTTTGCTTCCTGTCTCCTTTGCTTGGCAAGGCTGAGTATTAAATATACTCGAAGCAGCTTTAGTTTTCACAGCTGCTGGTGAATGCAATCCATGCCTAGACTTCCTCCTGTGCCATTTGTCAAATGTATCTGGGGTTGTTTGCACTCTGATGGGTGGAGGGGTGAAGGGGCTGGCAGACGACAGTAAAGTCTCTTGAGGAGGAGTGTGCTGAAGAAAGGTTTTGATTGACAGTTGACCTTTCATAGGAGTGGTATCATTTTCACTCTCCACGCCTGAAGAACTGTCCAACTTTTTCCTTGATTTTGTAGAATTTGAGGCAGCCCGCCTTTCTGATTGTTTGCGATGCACTTTTGATGTTTTGCTTTGGTTTGTGGTGTCAAGTTCTGTTAACTGTTCACTGTCTGTTGCACATTGCCTTTCCACTTTTAATTTAGCAGGCTTTACTGCCTCTGTTAAAGCATTACTTTCCTTGTTGTGAATGTCTGATAACCCCTCATCTGTCTGACACCTAGATGCACCATTTTTGTCACCAAGTTCATCATATTGTCCCACTTCTGTCCTTGATCTGGTATTCTTGCTTGGTGTATCAGCAAATGAAGATTGCTCTAAACTGATACCACTACCAGCCTTCTGGGGTGTTGTGCTCACCCATGTCAGCCACTCAAATTCAGTTTGTTTAGCTGGGGAAACAAAATCTGGGTTGGTTAGTTTACTAGGTGTTTCAGATATACAAACATTGGATACTTTCGTAGAACAAGAAACAGGTGTCTCTTGGTAAGTTTTCACTGGAGTGGTTGCCAGTTTATTGAAGACTGCTCTCTTTACAGAACTTGGAGTGCCTGTTTTCTTGGGTGTTTTTCTTGGAGTTAGACTGGTGTGGCAAGAGGTTTCTTCCTGGGTTGAACTTCTAGGTGTTGGAGTCTTTGTCCTTGTTGGGGTTCTAACTGGAGAAAGAAACAGTGCTTTCTTGGTTGCTCTCCTCGGAGTGACAGCAGTGGTACTATTTGTAACCTGTGTGCAGTTTCCAGTTTTGTCTGGGGTACTTTTCTTTAGATCCTGAGATTCTCCAGCATTTTCAATCTTCTTTTCACTACTTTTCCTTATTTGAGAAAGCAAGAAATCACCCCTCTTCCTCACTGGTGTCTTTAATTTTAGTTTCATTTCTGGATGAAGAGGAATCACAGGCTGATGACCTGCAATTCTTTTTGCTAGTTCTCTGTGCTTTTGTAAAGTTCTGGATGCCTCGGAATAGAAAGACCCTCTCCTGGCCAAGATAGACTTCCCCTGGACTTTACATTTCACTTTCTGACTGCCATTCAGCAGTGAACTTGCATTTAAATCTGCACCTGTAATAAAATCAGATAATAACTATCATTACTGTTTAATACATTAAACAAAAATGATAAAAAGTTAATCATGAAGAACATCAGTCACCTGAAGCTTGCCAGGATGATGGTGGTGAAAACCTCAGTATTAAAAATGAAACTTTCATTCTTGTGATTTCACTCACAGGGGCTGTCCAAACATACATACCTATTGACTTGTACACAATGGTTTCTAAATATAAGGTAAAATCTGAAGTTCCTGAACTACTTATGAACATATATATATATACACAGCTTCCATTATCATCTCAATTAAAAGGGTACATGACTTACTTTTTACAAGGAGATCTTTCTCTGGAGATTCTTCAACTACAACCACATCTTGTAATGTCTCTGATTGTTGTCTTTCTTGTTTACGTAATGCCATGGCAACCTGCTTGTGTCTGGGGGTTTCACTGACCATCTTGGTCTTCAGGATGTGGTGCTCTATAATAAAGCCAAATTAGGATAACAATGACATCAATTAATGAGTGGGCTTTGGAACATATTACAGTTAAAATGATGTAATGATAAATAAACAGTACACATTATGCTTGATAGGCATAATGATGATTTTTCATTATTGCTGAAATGTAAAATAAGTAGACTTAAAAGGTGAACATGTGAGTTTTTATAATCTAAGTATTGTTGCCATATAGTTTCATTACCACAGTATACTTTTTCATAACATGACAACATCACAGTCCTTAAACAACACATTTGTACTGAATAAGGATTACAATAGCCATTTGCTCAGACATAATGCCCTACAGTTGTTTCCCACCCTACCTTTGACTATATGTCCACTGCAGTGTCTTGATCTTGCTTTCCTGGAGTGTCTAGCATGTCTGGGACTGACCTTCTTAGGCGTGTTCATCTTATTAGGGGTTTTCCTGGGAGTTTTTACAGGCGTTTGTTTCCTAGGAGTGGAATGTTTCTTAGGGGTATGAGATGCATTGGTGGGAATCGCTGCCATGGTGTGGCGCCTCTCCAAACGATTAGTCTTAGCCTTGAAAGTTTGACCCGCAACATCTCCACCCAGAAACAGATTTCTTTTTACTTTTGTCACCTCCATTTGGGGCCCTAAAATTCAATTGTGGATTCCAAAGTTAACCTTGTGTTTGTCAAAATCAAAAACAAAAATTATGGTTAGGACTTAAACTAATAGTGATGATTATCATTATCAACCTAGTTTCATATTCACAGATAATATGGTAAAATAGAAGAAATAACATTACCCCAGCAAAGTGCAACAGTGACATCTGACTAGACCTCCTACTTAATATAAAGGTGTGCAGCTTACCAATTATTTTCTTTTTTCTTGCACTCCTCTTTTTTGCACTACTTCTTGTAACAGGCCTTGCACCCCGGACTTTTGCCTTTTCCACCTGGAAAGTGAAGATTTGGTGTCAGCACTACCTTCAGTCAATATCAAAGAAAATGCAAAAAATATTCAACTGTATTATATAACAACACCGTCTTGGGAAATTTTATTCAGGCTATTTCTATTAATTGTATACATCACATTTAAAGGATTTAAGAACAAACAAGATATCATAAGATCTCAAGAGGCTGCTTAAAATATATATTGAAAAATAAAGGATTTCTGAAAACTAACTTTTGGTTTTTTCACTTGTGGTATCATGATCTGTCGTTTTAAACTTGCATCTGTGAAACTGGAGTGAGAGACCAGGCTTCTGCTTCTACTTCTGCAACCAAAACAATTAACAATAGCAAATTTAAAACATTTGTGAAATAGCAATAACTTTCCCATCTTAATCATATAGAATGCAAAATACCAAATATCCTTAAACAGATGGCACTGAATCACTTTTCAGTCCCATTACTTGCTGTGGTTCTTAAAGAGTAATTCTGACAAAAGATCCAGAGTGAAATCTTCAATTCTTTCATGCACATTTCTCCCCTTAATAACACCCTACAGTGACCCCACTGCAGTATTACATTTTTGATTATGTACAAAATAAAAATATACACAAAAACAAAACCATGGCAATATATTTAGAGAAAATTAAATAAAACTTACCCAGATTTGTTGGACCAAGGATCATTAGAACATGACCCAATGGAAGAAGCTGACCTCAGGGACATTGGGGCTGGTGGTTCAGCTATAGAGGGGTTGGATTGGTTCATGGAATCATCTTTGTCACTATTCTCACAGGAAAACAGATATGCATATTCTTCAGGAGGCTCAGTCATAAGTTCTTCATAGATCCTCCCAACAGTCTTTGGCAGGACATACACATAGCTGGAATTGGTCATCAGTACATTGTTAATCTACATGACACTGAGATAGCTTGGCGTGAAGTCCCAAAATTTGTACTAATGATAATATAACAAGCTAAAGGCTTATACCTTTGAATGGGTGGTGGACATAGAGGTAATATTGTTTACATCAAGTCATCAATTTCCCAGATCTGTCAGTTAAACAGAAACAACTTTTTAAAATAAATTTATAAAAATACAAATATAGTTACTTTTCTAGAACCACTTCTTTTAGGAATTGTGGCAAGAAAGCTGGATCTGACGAAAAAGCTGCTCTCCTTAGCATATTAGCCACCTGAAATATAGAGAAATCTAATTTGTTACAAATATTGCTTGGCAGTATTAAAGAACTACATTTTATTGGTGTTTCACGACTTGCCATACTTGTGTTTTATAGTGCACCATGAACAATGAGCAATCACTGATCTACATTGCCAATAACTGCTTGAAAAGGGTCCCAAATAAAGGTGACTTGTTACATATAAGTTTTCCATCTCTTATATTAGTTAAAAGTGCTTGACCCTTGAATGAACACACCTCTTCCACCCAGGCATCTCCCACCTCCTCCTCGCCATTGTGTAATGCCGACTCCAGCTCAATCCTCATCAATACCTGCAGCTGATACCTATACAGGGAACAAAGTTTGAAAAAGCTTCAAGAAGGGTGATATGTGAGATAGGCAATCGACTTGGTTACAGAACAGAAGTAGTTGTAGTTGAAATACAATGTAATATCAATATCCAAAACAGCTGAATAACAAATATGCAGCTTTCAAAGAAGTCTACACAGCCTCTCAAATCACCTGTATTTGCTCTTTATCAAGTTAAAAACAAATCCAAGTCTTGATACATAATCATCTGGCATTTTACTCCTTAGGTACTGCACACTTACTCTGCAATTTTCATGGTTTCATTTTCTCCATTCTCTGACATGTGATTGTCTCTTAAGCTTTTGTAGGATTTTAGGAAGTGATCTGTCAATAATCCTCTGCTTTTCTCCTAAATCATATAAATACCAACAAAATATTAAAGTAAACAAATACTAATACTCAAAATAAGTTTGAACATTTTTTTTTGCTTTGTCCATACAAGTTGCTTTTCATAAAAAAAGGAACATCTTCTTTCTTAAACTTTTTCAAAGGATTAAATATTTTCTCAACCAATAAATGCTGCTTCAATCTCATAAGATATATATAAGTTGGGGAAATACAAATCTGACTTATCTATAGTAAATCATGGTTTAAGTAAGCATATCAAACTTCTTATTGGGCTTGGTGTGAACATCACACAGTTTCAGCTTGCAAGACAACACTTACAGAATATTTATCTGGGTAAAAGCTCTTTGAAAAGTGCACAATAACGTTGACCAAACTCTGAGCACATGAAATAGGTGAGATGTTCCCACTAATGCACTGTGTGTAATTTTCATGCAGACTCTTAAGTAAATCCCTTTCTTCAGTGAAATCTGAAAGAAAAAAAAAATTGAAAAGCACATCTTACTATTTCATTAGAGTAACATTTAAATAAGCAACGGCAGTTAAAATTAAATCATTACATATGAATGTAACATAGACAGCTTTCCAAATCATTTAATCTTCTTTGAAAAAGATTGAAGAAAGGCTCTTCATCAACAAATCAGAGATGATCAATTCTAAAATGTATATATTGTATAAATATTGAATTAACAAGCAAAAAAATAAGAGAACAATAAGTTTTGTCTTCTTTTAAAAATGTGAACAACACATGTTAAATTATCTTCACTTGTATTAAATTAAGATCCTTACCATGTTTGGCAACATTGGCTTGTATTTTATCTCTTCGTTCTTTAACTTTAGCCTCAAGTTTCTTCTGTCTAATTTCCCCCTCATCTATGACATTGGAGTTGGATTCAGATTCACCTTTCTTTTGGTTTGTCTTGATGTGATTAATTGTATCCACAAGGTGCTTCCCCCTGGTGGTTTTGATAGAAGATGCCAGTCTCTCTAGTTGTTTCTTTTGATTTTTGCCATCCCCAACCACATCTGAAATAAAAAGAATTTGGCACTTTTTGTGATGCAATACAAAATATATCCAGATGAAGTGAACAAAATGGAGTCTGTTATAAATATTTATTCAAAAGGTTCAGCCAATGGCCTACATTTAATTCAGAACAAACTAAAGTCACAGCAAAAACAAATTTGGTGTAAGTAACTTCATTATGGTTGTAGCACACAGCTGCTGAATATTAACAAGGTACTGAACTGCATTTGTCGCTCCAAGAAGCTTAAAACTTACTGTTTTGCTTTGCAGTACTAAACATTTCTTCGAGTTCCATGGGCCCTTTCATAGTTTTAGGTTGGTCTGCTTTCTGATAGTATTTGGCAAGTTTCTTCTGTAACTCAGTACTGCATCTTTTACCGAATGAAGATGTCCTGCCATGAAATATAAGATTAACACTTTCAGGCTTGTAACTGAGTAGGTATTAAGGCAATTGGATGCCATTATAGGAGATGAACAAAAACCCTTTACATCAATTCACTTCAATAGTACAGTAACTTAATTAAATACACCATGAAGTTGAAGTTATTATGGTACTACCTAAACTCCTGCACAAAGTCATTCACTTTGGAGTGGTTTCCTGCCAGGTGCCACTGCTCTAGAGTGCCACAGTGGAAAACATAGTGATCAGATTGATGTGACATGGCTTCCTCTTGTGCAAGTGTAGACACTTAAAAAAAGTACTGCAATTTATTTAATTGAATTTGGTACATATTATTTTATGAAATAAATCTAATTACAAAAAGAATGATTAAGACAAGGTTAATAGATGAAACGAGTGGTACATATATTAGTTCTGATGATTTTAATCTCTTTCTTTAGTCTCTCTTTTAATAATATCAAAAGAAAACATTTGCAAGTAACTAATAATTTTTTTCAAGGGCAAATGGGCTTACATATTCAAACTTTTCTATATAATTATATGGAGTAAAAAATCAAATGCAGGCTAACCTGACTGAGGTACAGCAGGCCTTAAAATGGACTGAATGTGCTTCACACTTTTTGTGACAAAGTGCTGCAGACCCGCAGATTGTGCTGTGTTATCTGGGCGTGGCAAGGAGAGCAGTTTCTCCAACTGTAACACCATGGCTGGTCTGATGGTAGTCAGGGTTGCACTTAGTGGGGTTAGGGGTTGCAGCATGATTTTAGAAGGAAACACCCCTCTGCTGCTGTCTTCAAGAACCTGACAAAAATAAATAAATAATCAATAGGTTCTACAAGTAGTTCTACAAGTTGTTTAGGTCTAATGTGAAAATCCATAAAAAATAACAAAATCTAGAAATACTAAAGCAAATGAACAATAATTTGTGAACAAACATAAATATTCTGATCTTAAACAATAAGCTTACCAAGTTTAATTTTTGTTTAAAAAGCTCCATTAAGAGAGCCTGAAATGTTTCAGATGCCTCATCCAAGACAATGCCTCTTCTAGTGTCAAAGGTGTTCCCTGTACAACAATACACCCGATCACAGTCAAACCAATCCAAAGGAAGGCTGCCAGTTTCTATTGTGCCACATATTTGGTATGTGTTACACTTAAACCCAGCAGGGACAACTTCTGATACAACTCTATCCTGGTCTTGCACCATGTCAGCTGTAACTGCTGTGTCAGCTGTGTTAACTGTGATCATACTGCAAACCTCAGGAGTCTCAGAGTCAACTGACTGGATTTTAAGTTCTACTTCACTTGGCATCCTGACTACAAATTTCTTGGCTGCATTATTATCAGCACTGTCAGTGAATCTAAAGGTAATGATTGATTAAATAAAGTTTTCATTTTTAAATCCAAAGAGAAAATTCAAATTGTTTGATATATAAAGAAACAGATAAATTAACATATATCTCAGAGGTAGGAGGGTGACTGGGTATCAAACAGATCAAATCAACATGGCATACTACATTCATAAAAAAAAAATCCAAACTGTATACCTTAATATGGAGGTAAACTTGTACATATACATCTTTATCATTTTACTGTATAAAATCATGTTCTCAAAAACTGACTAATACCTGTGATTCACTGGACTAAACATAGGCTGTAAACAAAGTGCACACACAACATCTGCATTGCCATCTAAAATAAAAAATATGTAGGCTCTTTCAACTTTGCCACAGTATGACATTGACACACAAATAACAAATGAATCTATTCTAATATCCTTTCTCATAAACTGCAGTAGAATTTTATCTTAGCAGTCCAGCATAAATATTACTTTTATAAAAACTTAGCTTAATGACAGTTTTTTTTTTAAATTTCAGAAGTCCCTTATCAAAAACTTAGTCAACTAAGACAACTTAAAATTGATTTACTCAAATCTCATGTCCATACCTACCTGACTGATTGCACAACAATGTATAGGCCTTGCTTTTCTGCTGTTGGCTCTTATCAGTGTCACCTTTGCGTTTTGTTAAATAATGATCTAATACAGAGGAAAAAGGCAAAGAAAAGCAGGATCTCTTGTCCTCTGATCTGCAACTACTGGTGGCACCATCATCAGAATATTCTAAGAACTCTGAGCTGTGCTGTCTTTGGATTGAAAAAGGGAGAAGTACATGTCCAACACTGGTGTTTAACTGGACAACTGTTTCTATCGGCAGAACACCACCTCTAAGTTCACAAAATATTCTGTCCACTGTTTCAATTCCATGGAAATCTTTAGTCTAGGAAAATTTCCAATAAAAGACAGATATTAGATTAATTAGAAGTTTTTCCGTCTTTTCAAGTAGAATATGTCTTGTTAAAAGGGCATCTAAACATCAGCTACTGCATGTGAAGAATGTTATTTGTTAGGTCCAAGATCAAATAAAGTGACTTCTTTACTACAGTATATATGATCATTTATAAAAACATGTTTTTTCAAATTTGGATGACTTTCATTTTCACAGAGCATGTTAATAATTAAAATTAGGCAAATTGTGTCTGACTGTTTAGTGTCTGCAAACTGCAGAATGCTTTTATAACATATATTTACCTTGACTGGATTATCTACAATGTTAATCCAATGTACATCAATCTTTCTTGATAATTGCAGGTCTCTCTCCAGGTTTCTTGTAATGAAAGCATTGCGGTGTGGCTGAAAATCATCTCTGTAGCACTCTGTGAATCGACACAAATCACTGCTGCTCTGTGGACAGGCAGCAAACAAAAAAATGTGGTTCCCTGTCAAGCCACGTATGTTGTCAGCTACTGTGACTGCATGTTGAGAACGCTTGCCGCGTACAGGTGATCCCAATACAGACAAAGGTCGATCCCAGTGAAACTCGTTAGCTGCTTGTTGCAAGGCTTCTCTGATTTTCATGGAAGGGTGTTTTTCGTCATCTGCATCCCCGATCAGATTAATATCGTTATAGATAGAGTCTTCATCAATCAATGTTTGCATTTGTTTAAGTTTGTTTTTGTGAGGCGATTTAACTCGGTTCTCCAGTTTTAATCTTTCGGAGTGTAATAGTCTTTCCACCTCTGCTTCAAACTCTTCGTATGTTTTCCCACTGAAGTCTTTAAACCCATACTTACGTATTTGTTCTGACTTACCACAAAAGTTGTAATATTTCACTCCCCATTTTAACACCGAGCGGGTGTTTTTGTTCGTGAAGTATGTGAGGAGTTTTAAAACCGCTAGCTGAATGGATTTTATAGTATTGTCAGTTCTACATTCACCGGCACCTTTCTCGTGCCTACCCTTGACATCTATCACAAAAACAACTTGAAATTCATCACCCGTAGCAGACATTTCGTATTTTATTGTTGTCGGAGCCTTTCGAATGAAACACTGTCAGCCATATTTGAAAACCATTCCCATAATGCAACATTTGGCGGGAGTAGAGACCAATTATGTCATTTGACCCAGTATCTGTTCATTAGTATTCCCAAAGTGATAATAAAAATGTCATTGCTATCCTAAAAACTAAAGGAATAGAAGCTTTGCTGAGTGTGAGTTACTGTGTAGATATATGTTTCCAAACTCATTGTGAGTATTTTGTGACTTTAATAATAATGATAACATTAACATATTTTAATGTTTAAAATATGGTGGTCATGCACCCGGGCCTGGCATGGTAGACGGCTGCATGTAGACTGATCTAGACTTGGCATACACAATATTCTACACATGATTTATTTGTGTAAAGGACAAATAAGTGATAGGAAAAATAATTTTAATGAGAATAGTGGTCTTAGAAGGACCATGTACTGCCGTTGATCGAACAAAAACATATAATATGTCTAGGTAAGAATGTTTCAAAGACGTTTATCACATGAGAATAGATAAATGTGTAGTCAGGTTCGCCAGTATCAAACAATAAACTAACTGCCTTGTTTTGAAGCACTGCATGGTTCAGTAGAAAAGTCTCAACATTTCGGCAATATATAGGCCTATATATAAAAATAATTAATGCAAATATTTAGGCCTAAATATAAATGCGAAAATCAAAACTAGCCATGCAACAATTAACTAGCTAAGACCATTCCCAAACCCTATCGTACTAACTCTGGATTGAACTATCTCCAAGGGGATTCTCTCTTAATTTCAATTAACTTAAACGGCTTAGATGTCTGTCACGCCTACTGAAGCTGTTAAGTGGTGAATAACTATCGTTAAGCAGCTTTAAGTTATCGTGCCAGACATCTATATAAGCCACTTAAGCTGAAAGCAATTTAGCGAGAAACCCCGTGGAGATGGACCGATCCCGTTAGATCGATCTAGGGATGGGAACCCAGTCTAAGGGGTTTATCCATCTTTCCTTAACCTACCGGTCGTAAATTTGCCGCACACCCCCCCCCCCCCCCAAAAAAAAGTCCCTTCTCACATTCACTAAGGCAAAAAAAAAAAAAAATAAAAAAAAAAAAAAAAAAAAAAAAAGATGCGCCGCAGTTTAGCCCTACAAGAATTACTTACTGCAATTTTCAAAAAATAATAATTATTATTATTATTATTATAAAATCTTGAGATGCGATGGATACGTTTATCAAAAATTATTTTACTGATTTTGCCGTTTGAAAATTTGTCCAATTAAAAAAAATTTATTGGTGAAATAGTTTATCAAACTAATATGAGGAATTGTTTATCTGTTTAATGTGTGCCAGTAGTAAGTAAGAGATATTTAACACCTATAGGGAGGAAGAACGTAAAAAAATTGAATGACCATTTTATGCTAGATTTATAGCCTATTATCCATGATTTTTATGAGAAACATTTTAAATTATGACACACTGTGGCCCACCATGGCCCCGGATAAATTCTGTGCACTTTTCTGCAGATCGAAAGATTTGTGTTGTGAATTCACCAGAGACCNATTGGGACGTTTATCTATATGGCGGACCCCTAGGTAAGGATGTGTCAATTTGTTTCAAAGACGTTTATCACATGAGAATAGATAGGCCTAAATGTGTAGTCAGGTTCGCCAGTATCAAACAATAAACTAACTGCCTTGTCTAAAGCACTGCATGGTTCAGTAGAAAAGTCTCGACATTTCGGCAATATATAGGCCTATATATAAAAATAATTAATGCAAATATTTAGGCCTATATATAAATGCGAAAATCAACACTAGCCATGCAACAATTAACTAAGGCCATTCCCAAACCCTATCGTACTAACTCTGGATTGAACTATCTCCAAGGGGATTCTCTCTTAATTTCAATTAACTTAAGCGGCTTAGATGTCTGTCACGCCTACTGAAGCTGTTAAGGGGTGATTAACTATCGTTAAGCAGCTTTAAGTTATCGTGCCAGACATCTATATAAGCCACTTAAGCTGAAAGCAATTTAGCGAGAAACCCCGTGGAGATGGACCGATCCCGTTAGATCGATCTAGGGATGGGAACCCAGTCTAAGGGGTTTATCCAACTTTCCTTAACCTACCGGTCGTAAATTTGCCGCACCCCCCCCCCCCAAAAAAAAAGTCCCTTTTCACATTCACTAAGGCAAAAAAAAAAAAAAAAAAAAAGATGCGCCCGCAGTTTAGCCCTACAAGAATTACTTAATGCAATTTTCAAATAATAATAATAATAATAATAATTATTATTATTATTATAAAATCTTGAGATGCGATGGATACGTTTATTAAAAATTATTTTACTGATTTTGCCGTTTGAAAATTTGTCCAATTAAAAAAAATTTATTGGTGAAATAGTTTATCAAACTAATATGAGGAATTGTTTATCTGTTTAATGTGTGCCAGTAGTAAGTAAGAGATATGTTACACCTATAGGGAGGAAGAACGTAAAAAAATTGAATGACCATTTTATGCTAGATTTATAGCCTATTATCCATGATTTTTAGGAGAAACATTTTAAATTATGACACACTGTGGCCCACCATGGCCCCAGATAAATTCTGTGCACTTTTCTGCAGATCGAAAGATTTGTGTTGTGAATTCACCAGAGACCTAATTTATCTGTGAATATCTAGTGAAAAATTAATCTGTGACCCTGGTAGAGGATAAGCAACAACAGCCAGAGCTCAAGTATGGTTGCAATCAAAATCAAAATCTCAAAGTTCAGTGTACTAAAATGTTAGCAAGGCTACTAAACGCTGCAATCAGATTACCCGGTTTACGAAATTTTTCAGGCAGTATTAGTGCCATTACTACGTATACTGCCCAATAGACTGAACTTTATTGAATTCGTATTCAAATTTTGAATATGTACAACACATCAATGGATCCACAATTACTGTTGCTACTTCAAAATGGGTCTTTGCAATGATTCAATGAATAAATATAAAACAATTTAAAATGCAAAACACATACTCAGTAATATGTTAATAGCATTATTATTTCACTATACACCAGAAAGTAGGTCCGATTTCAAAGACGTTAAAACAACAATAAACGTTACGAAAAGTTATATATGATAAAAAGAAAATTACATCAAATACATGTAAAGCAAGATCAAAGTATTGTTTTAAAAAATACTAATTGTCATTCCGTTTAAGTGTGTACTAAATGATAAACGATTTTTATAAATGAATTTAAAGACAACTATAGAAAACTTGGTTATTAAACTTGACTATGTACAATCTGGCGGTGTTTCTTTTCATCCTTTACTATTTTCCTAACCTTTTTTAATATACTGCACTTGTATATATATATTTCTTTCTTGTCCTCTCAAGAAGTGTGTAAAAAGCTCTATGCGAATGGTGCTTCCATCTACATAAGTGTTATATTAAATCGTAAGTAATTTTAAGTCTTAAGCCTCAGTTATAGAAAAGTGGACTTTACTTATATTTGGACCTTTAACCAAATAGTTTATATGTTTAACGTTAAATTGAAAAAATAAAGAGAAAATCCGGACTGATTTATAGCGTGCTTCTATGCTATATCAGTAAGGATGCACTCAAATTCTAGTTAGGTTACACGCAACAGATTGTACCTAATTTTTGTGCTGTTAATCTAAGTTGAACCAATGGTTTATATTTTATGCCGTTTCATTTCCTTGGTTATAGATGTGCCTAAAGAGGTGAAGTTATTTGTTCAACTTTAACAAAAATAGCAGTTCTCTTTAACAGGTTGATAGCAATCTGTAGGCGCAGGTGGCCTCTCTGTGATGCTGTGGTCCAGTGTGTCCACATATTGAGGTACATCAAAAACTGCTGTGGTGTCAAAATAGTTCCATGGTTTTAGCCAAAACCCGGTTTCTACGCGAGCTGTCATCGGGACGTCCTCTGATGTAGGTACGTGTATAAACCCAACGCTCACCCAAGTGATAAGATCTTCATTCACGATGTTTTCTCCATCCAACATCCGTTCCAACGATCCTGTAGGATTCGCTAATCGATTCTGGGCGTATGTTCCGGTGATAAAACGTTCGTTCTCTTTACGTTTTGTGACTGCACATTGATATTTAGTATAAGACAAGGCGCTCATGGCTGGGTGTGAGTCGGGAACAACCTGACCATAGGCAGACATCGGTACTATACGATAACCTCGAGGAACACCCCATTTGTTTTTGTGCTCCTCGTTAATAACAGTCCAGATCTTGGGATTTGCATAACTAAGTTTAAGTCCTGCTTCTGTCGCCAACGTTTCCCATTCAACAAAACGTGTCTCATTATACAAGAAGTACGGGGGTTTTGCTGTAATATTGTTGTTTTGAGTTTTTAAAGCATCGATGACATTTCCAGCTTTCCAATGAATCGCTTCAAATTTATTCTTTTTTCCCAAGATGTCGAGATCGACCTTAAAACCAAAAGTGTGGTCATGCAGTGCACCATGAGTGTATTCTGACACTCTATAACCAAACGGATCTGTTGTTTTATCGTTACCAGCATGTGGATTTCCTTGGTCCCAAAAGCTTGAATGGATGAACCCAGACGCCATCCCCGTGCTCTGCATTCGCCCATCTAAATAAAAGCGAAAATCTATAGTGTAGTCATAGTTGCCGACAGACATGGGAATCCTGGCGACAAGATATGTATTTCTCAGTCCTGCAGCAAATATGTCCTTTCTTCTCCACATCGCTTCTTGGCCATCCATTTCAAATATACAAATTGCTTTCGCAGATACTGGTCTCTGAAGTCCCACGTACCACCACGGTACATCGAGGAGGGTGGCGTGTTCAGGACAATCCACCCCTTTGATGGCATCGTGCCACTGTCCGAGCCCAAATGTCGCGTCCAAGTACACGATGTTTGCACCAGAGCTGGCATCGGATGCGTAGATCAAGCCAACTTCATTTAATGAATTTTCGTACACGATACGTTCACCCTTGAACTGGACGTTCATCACCCCTGGGCCACGTAACTGATTTCCAAACACTGTAAACTCCCAGTCCATCCACTTCACTGTGTGGTCGTGCACTGTGTAGCGTCGGCCAGCTGGTTCGTACGTCCGTGGCGGTGCTTTGTTGGACATATCACGAGGTTTGTTGCCATCTTGTTTAGGGAAAGTGGTTTTAAACAAAGTCTGGCGGTGGCCTCTGGGTAGTGCAAATTTCCTTATGGTGCCGTTTTGATAAGCTTCAAGCAATTCTTCAGCCGTGCTGAAAGGCCCTTGATTCAAATAATAAAAATTGTAAGAATACCACTGGGATTTGTCTGTTCCAGGATTGTGCACGGTTCCAGTGAGTGGTAGAGGATGCAAATCATGCCCATTAATTGTGCCGTCGACCAAAAGAGTCATGAGAAACCGCGTCTCGCGCTCCTCCGGCAGCAGTCCTGGAGGAGCTTGAAAAATTAATGACATACCACCATCAGGGTAATAAGCCCCGTCGAAACTCTCCATTAGCAACGGCCTGAGAATAGACATGGCTAAAATAACCTGCTCATTGAGTCCATACATTTCAAAAGGATCCATTGGACGAGAGTTGTAGGGTAATTCACCATCATTGTAGAGAGCAGTGGCATTCATGGCACCGCCGAGAGGGCCTACTCTGTATTCCATGAGATCTGGGGCGTTTCTATTTCCACGATGAACGTGGACGTCTGCGTAACGCCCAGGAGAGGCCAAACCTTCATCCAAGTGTGCAATGGCTTCATCTTTGTTGGGGAGGTACAGAGACATGCTATAGATATAAGAATTTTGCAAACTTGAAGGACTCTGGTCAACTAACCCTTGCTGAACCATATACTTATGAACTTCTTCCATCTCGTCTACGCTCACCATTTCAAATATCCCTCTGGAAGACGATGACTCAGACTGCGTAATTGGCGGACTTTGTGGGCACTTGAGTTCTTCTTTACACACGTCGTTACAAGCACTGGTTGGACTGGTGGACTGGGTGGTCGGTGGTCGCGTGTTGCCGGATGTTGTTGTTTGTCCATTCATGGTTTCCGAATTGGAAGCAGAGTTCCCAGTCGCTGATGTGTCCTCTCCTGGTGTCTTGTAGGCAAAATATCCTAGCAAAAACCCTAGCCCAAGACCGAGTGCGAACACGATAATCCCGGTCAGAGCTGCGCAGAACAGTGAGCGGGTAGACATCTTGGATGAACGCGTAGAACCCGGAGAAGCAAGACAGCGTGGCGTTTTTTTCTGGTCTGGTAAATTTTCATCAGATGCACCGGAGAACGCGGGATTTTCAAAGCTATGGTTCATTGGCAGGTTATCCGTCTATTTTTTGCTTGCTCTGGAAATAATATATTCAATGATATTAACACTTACATCAATCTAAAACGGACATGTTTGGGATATTTGAAGATAATCTAGTCACATATACTCAAAATCAAACTCAGCAGAAAGCATATTTTCTTTAACTGAGGATTCTGATTTTTCCCCAAATGGCCTCATTTGAATCCCTATCAATGTGTTTTTTTTTTTTTAACAATGAAATGCTGGATATTTTATTCGTGTCTGAGATTCGATACGTTATAAAGGCATGTATTCTTCAAAATAACTTTTCCCCATTTCTTTTATGTGAAATATCCCAAACCTAATATAGAGGTGCATTTCACATGCTAAAGTGTCCAAAAAGTGCTCTAGTACTCTGTTACAAAAGTGCCCAAAAAATAAACTTGAATGGATCCAATGTTGTATTCAATTTAAAAAAATATGTGTATAGAAAAAATCCTGTCTCAATTTTAATTTAATTTTTAATTTTTACCATGTCTTTACATTATGTAAAGAGCCCTAATGGTAACGTATGTTCCGGTAACGTATGTTCTGGGCCATTTAATTTTAATTTTTCTATCGCGATTTTTTGTAGTGATTCAGGCATGGTAAATTATACATGACGTAAACATGTTTTCATAAATATTTAAACTGTAACTCAAGGTGTTTTGTGTCATGGTTAATAGTATGTAACACATGTTCCCCAGAAAATTGTCAGACAGTTTCAGCTCAGCAAAGCACTTGGTGCAGTAGGAAAACAGGGCTTTCTGTTGCTGACTGAAAATTTATATTGTGGTTCCATTATAGTTTGCCATTTCTGATACAATTTTGGACCACAAATGAAAATTGTTTATCTAATGTTTATTTTACTGTCGGCAGGGTATATTTCGCCCGTTTTTTTTTTTTTTAAATTTTTTATATATATATATATATATATATATATATATATATATATATATATATATATATATATATATATATATATATATATATATATATATATTCAGTGACAAGTTCCAATTAACCGCTTTATACGGAAGATTAACATAATTTTTATAACGTTATACTTGTAGAATATAAATCAAGGAACAAAACCGATTTAACTGGAGGGGCACAGTAATTAAATCTCGGCTCAGTTCAACCGGTCGAGGGATGACGCGTGGGGAACCGTGTGAGAGGCGGAGAGACCATTACAGGATTAAGCGGTCTTCCCATCATGTTGGTCCGCCATATTTAGGTCGTGGCCTACCTTGCACTCGGCTATTCTGAATGGCCTCCCATTCTGAAAGGCCCCATTGTGATTAATTAGGCGTTAAAAAAGCGTTGATAACTGTTCAAGTGTGGGAGATCTCTTTGAAAGCGATATTCATCAAACCGCTTTTCTTCATTATACCCCCTTTACACTGGACGGCGTCCTTTCTGCGACCATGAAATTTGGCATCGCTGTGGTCTTAATAAGGAGGCACGAGCATTGATTTGGTATCAGAATGAATGCTCAATGATCGGCCAGTTGTCGGCACGTAAAGTATTATAATTCTTTAACTCTCAAATGGGGCCGAACTGCTGGACGCAGAAGGGACGCCGTCCAGTGTAAAGGGGGCTTTAGGCTCTCTCATCTGTTTTCGAATTGGTCCTTCTGCTGAATTTTAGTTATAAAGTAATAACGTACTGTTTAATATAGCACGGTGCATTAAACAAGCTGATATAAATCGGCAGAAGACAGATATTTGAGAACGGGGCTAGGGTACTCTAACTGTAGTAAATATATATATATATATATATATATATGGAAGTCCGGGCTCCCATATGATTAGAACTGGTTAGGGTTAGTTGGCCATGGAGTATTGGGGTTAGTATATAGGACGAATGTCACCTGCACAAAGTAACGGGAAGCGGACTACTGTACGGTTCCTAGCGGACTTCCATTCCTGTTACACCTGTAATTACAGTTTTTACTCTCAAATCGCTGCTCGAACGAACTAATTCGCCCTGCTCAATGTGTTTTTGTTGCGACAGAAGTATTGCAGAATATGATCTTCGCAGTGGATAAGAAAATATCCTAACGAGCCGAACACAGTTGAGAGTTATCATTTCTCATTTCATTTAGACGAAGAATGAGAAAGGGCGTGAACAAAATGGCGCAGGAGAGTTTTCAAATGCCTTTTTACAAGGTGTTTTCCACAGTCAGAGTTTTCACCTGTAATTGAAAATGATTGATCAACTACACCTTGCGATAATGCCTTGTATTATTTTCGTATAATACAAATTATGTGAATACCGTCAAAAAATCTTACCTCAATCAGTCAGTGATATGTGATGAAACCGCCCATAACCATACTACGCCAAAGCCACAGGTACTAAACTGGCGATATTTCTCAAGAGTTAAAATGTACGTGACATATAATTACGCTTTCTTTGTTCCACTGTGTGAACGACAAGGAGGTGACCCTGTGTCAACGTCCCCTTTTGTCCTTCACAAAATTGGAGACGCTGACGCAAGCCCTGGGTCACCCATATATTTGACCCCACTCTCCTCTTAATCCTGCGAAAAGTCGAGTTGTATGTATATAGAAAAACGCCTAACATTATTTAGGGGCGAGAGCCTTGAACTCTGAATAAAAATAAAACCAATGTTATTTAATATTGCTGGGAATCCGCGTGAGGTAGGTTTGAGTTAAACTATTTGCGCCCAGAATGTCTTCCAACAAGAAAGCAATGGCTTGATGACTTTTGACGTGACTTAAAGAACACGGTGAATTCATACTGTTGTAAAATAGATTGAAATTTAGAGAAAGCAATCAGCCTGGAGTATATCCGTGGATGAATCCTGTCAGTTTTGATTCACTGCCGACCATTATTTCTGACCCTACATACGCGTGGCTATTCTCCAAAATACAGTGAAATTTCGCTTGATTTTACACAAAGTCAAGGAATTTACAACTGTATTTGGCCTATCGCGGTTGAGTCCCACCGTGTTGTAATGTAATTGAAAATGATTGATCAACTACACAACGGAGCTGGGCCAAAACTAGTTTTAACAATTCATGTTGATATAAGAATTCAAACTACTTTTTCATCAATATTTACTATAGCTGACAAATATTTGATTTGGCGCCCATTCGTATGGGAAAAGTGTCGCAAAAACATAATGCAAAAATACACGCAAACAAGCAAAGCACTCAGAGAGCGCAAACCTCCGCCACGGCGGCTCAATTCTCATTATTATTAATTTTATTAATAAGTTAACAAATTACTTAATTACTCACCACCAAAATTTCATTCTTGTCCTATCCTGAAAATTTAATCAAAATTCGTCTACGTTTTGCATCATGTTGTTATCAGACAAATACCTAACTAATAATTTACCGATTAATAACTGGATCACCTAAATTTTATCACTTTTAAGTTACCCAATTTCTGATCTATCCTGAAAATGTTATCAAAATCTATTCATAACTTTATTTGGGATATAGCTACAGATATATATATATAGTGTCTTCGCATAGAAATGTACCTCAATGTTTTATGCTTCTTTGTGCAGTTCAAGTGATACTGCCGAGAAAAAAACCATTATTTTCAAGTTTGTTGATAAGAATAGTGGAAACATTATTTAAATATCAATATCATATCTTTATTTCTTAAAATTGTACCACCCTCATTTGCACTTATAAGTAGTAGCAGCAGTGCAGAAATTTATTTACCAAAACGTTAAAACTTGTGCCTATAAATAACAAGGTAATGATTATTTTTCTATTCAATTAGCATGCAATTGCATTACTGAGGCTAAACCACTAAACCAGCTACTAGGTTTTTCCTTAAATAAATTGTCCATATCACAAAAGTTATTTTGCTGCATAAAAAGGTCTGCCTTACTTATAAATCTGCACCCTTGACATGAAGTCAATGCTTTGATTGGGGTGCTCATTTCACCTTCATTTTATTCATACATTATATTTAACCATCTTCAGATTCATACGGGAAAGAAATGCGATTCCTGTATTAAAGTTTTGAATTCTATTAACTAATTAAATTTGTTATATACACTTATATGCTAATGTTTTCCAGTAAATCACTTCTAATCTTGACCATAATTAATGTTATCCTATCTCTTAATTTCTATACAATGTTTATGGTGTAAATTAGGATTAAATGCATAGCCGATCTACAGCCATTTAATAACACAAAATTGTAGAGGCATTCCATACCATAAATAAAATAAACTATAGTTTCTTGAAAAACTGTACCACATATGATCAAGGATGTAGACACTACCTTAATACAATCTATTACAGCCATCACAAAAATTGAGAGATTTTTATAATTTCCAAGCACTGAATGACTCTTTTTGAATGTCCATTGCACTGCCAAAGAAAAACGAAGTTTTCATTTATCATTTTCAAAATTGCATTCAAGGGCAATCAACCTTTGGCATGTCGACCTTTATTTCAAAAAGAATTTACTACTTGTATAAGCTAAGTTCACTACTGGGATGAACTACTGTAGACGAAGACAGTATGTGGGCTGTATGTGTAATTTTGTTGTCTGAAATTGTCACATTTCCATTCAAATTATCTGCAATATTGATCAAAAGGAATGTTAGGTCCTTTGAAAGTGATGAAATAAATACCTCTGCAAAATGAGGTAGCACAGTCAACTTGTTCCCTTGCTCATAAAACTGAAACTGAAGCCACTGAGGCTCGTTTTGAATTTCACCAGTATCACACTTTATTTCTTAAGTATAATGACAATCTTTCTACAATTTGTGCGACTACTTCATCTATATTTTACCGCAGCTCTTACTCATCAAAAAACTCTAGCTGCTCATGCATTTTTCATTTATTGCTTACACTTGATGAATACATATCTTCTGGTCTTTTAAGAAAAAAGGTTTTATTTAAATACAAATATCATCAATTGTATGTATTTTATGACCTTACATATTAAACAAAAGTGAAAATTACACGTAATTGAAAAAAACTTGAAACAAATATATCTATTTCTTCAGATATAACAAAATCAAACTAAAGGTACCAACCAGCTCATGATATATTAAGTAAATATCAGGAAGTAACAATATACTTGGCTTACATTATATGCTTTCAGATAATGACAATAAGAAAATGTTGCACAATGTTGAAAAATGCACAAAATAACCAAACATAAATTAATGTAACAGTTTGAAAATAATTTGAGACATAGGAGTTTCCTTCACTAGTTCTGCTTCATTCAAGAAAGACTGATATGCCAGGATAAAATATGGTGCAAAGATCACAATGTCACAAATACTAAAAGCCAACTAGCTAAGGAATTTTATAATTGATTTCCTGTTGTAAATATTAGAATCTCCTATATATATTACATGATTAACTCCCCCAACTAAATGAGATTAATCCAGAGGCACTAGTTCAAACCATGAATCATCATCTATTCAGGAGTAGAGAATAAAATTATTAACCCAAATTGTTTTCCTCTCTTTTGATATCAGACTTATTTCTCCAGGAAAAAACTACAGCTCTTGACTTAAACAGTTATTCCTAGTTCTAGTTATAAACAAAAATTTTTCACAGCTCCAGCAGCATAAAACACTTTGAGGAAATTTTTGTCTGGTAAATCTTAATTTGGTTCAATGCACATAAAAGCCAACAACTGAAAGATAAAGAAGTAATTTGTGTAATAATATTGCCATAACATTTTGCCATTAATTATTTTTTGCACCTCGGCTATCCTTCAACACATCATTCTTTTCCAGAATATCTCTCAAAATGCTGTTAGAACAATGTCCTTGACAACTTTCCAAGAACAGGAAAGCCTCAATAAAATTTATAATCATTATCAGTAACCTAAATTATTGTGATAATTAACTACTGCCCTATTTCCATTCCGCATAGTCTTACTCAAGGTTTTCTCCCCTGGATTTTGAATTTCTGCCCTCCGAATCATCTGTATCCTCTAGCTCAGCAGCTGCCCCATTCTCACTAACACCTAGGCCATAGGCCACCATGCTTTCCTCAAAATACTTGCTCAGAGGTGTGCCAAGAATGTTCCTCCTGTTCAGGGGCCCAAGAGGCAAATAAGGGAATGAAGAGGTGAGGACATCTGCCTTAAGTTTATGTGGAACACCATGTATGTCCTGACTGAAGAACAAATCGCTCTTCGGTCGGCGCACTCTATCATTTGGAATGTCCTGTTGGGAACTTTCCAGAACTTTCACCCTGTGCTTTAAGTGCAGGATCTCTTCCACCAGGATACACTGTTGGAAATACTCTGATGGAGAACCACCACCTATGATCTGGACTGGAATCAACCAACGTAGAAAGCACTGTGACCATAATTTAATCAAGGGGCCTTTGACTTGGGGTAGGAGGATGTCAAGGTCACTCTTACTGATTGTTTGTAGAGTATCATTATAGTCATCTACAATCAAATATCCCAGGTTCCTGACCAGAGAAGAGTCTTTATTTACTTCTGTGCTGCTCTCTAATGCACTTGCCCCTTTTTCCTCAGCCAAAGACCGTTTAGAGTCTTCTAAGGAAGCAGATTCCCTTCTGTGTTTCACGACTTCATGCTCAGCAACATAAAGCGGGTTTTTGAACAGTGACTGTTCCTCATTTTTGAACTGCAATGACCAGTCCCAGACTGACAAAAGCTGAGCTCCCTTTTTAGGACCATATGGTATTCCTTCCTTAGAGCACATCATTCTCTGGTGCTGGCTATTGAAAAGGAAAGTCTCAAACAGCCCAATGAATGTACTGTCCCATAAGGTTGTTAGGTAGGTCTCACTGAAAGCAAAAGCTGATGGGAACTGTTGCAGCATTTGCCAGACACAATCTAGAAACATCAGGAAGACAGGCGACTGAAACACAAAGGAAAAAAAAACCTGTTATAAGGACAATCTAAATTAAATCAACTATACAATCAAATTGCTACAGTTGAACCTGTTGAATGAAATCAATTAAAAATAAATGTTTATAAGTTGTAAAAATATAAAATAGTCGTTTTAATTTAGGTGATTCTTGGTCACAGGAACACATATGAATTTTACTTTACAAAAAAAAAAAAAAAAAATGCAGCTTCACTGGAGAAGACCTACAGTATATTAAGTGTTTTCAATAATATCTTATAATTCCTTACAACATCTTCTTCATTTTTCTTAATGTGTCCATGTCTGTCCAAGAAAGGGTGCCCCATGACCACCCACTCCCTCTGTACAAGGTTCTGGAAGCCCCTCTGTGTGCGGAAGCATGGGTCCAACATCAACTGCACCAGGCTAGAGATGACACAGCATAAATCTTTGCTGTCAGACTCTGCAAATGCATATACAAGAACAATATCAAGTCATATTTATTATTATTATTATTATTATTATTATTATTATTATTATTACAATCATAACTATTATTAATATAGTGGTTTAAATTTTTTTAAAAATGAAGATAAAATTCTAACAATATGGTAATTTAAGCAAAGACAGCATTTTTATCACTTAGTCAAATAAGCATTATGACAATTTAAAGAATAAATTACTTAAACTTTTATGATCATGTTACAGAGGTTTGTTACAAGCATACCTTTCATGACCACAGACACTGGTGTGTCACCAGCCATTTTAATGACAATTTCTACTGCAGTCTCCAGGCATCTGGTGACATTTTGTAGCCACCCAGTGTCACTGAGCCTGGCAAACCAGTTTAAATCCTCCACCCAGAACTCTTTCAGGGACACTATGACAGACAAAAATATGTTTTATACACAATGGTGCTAACTGACATTGTAATAAGTTAATTCCTTTGCATGTTTTAATGATCTACTTTATAACAAAAAGAGCAAATTTCTGAATAAAACGCAATAGATGTTAAACTACTAAAGTATGAACTTATTTGAATGACAAAACTTCTCAAGGCATACCTGGCATACATATTTCTTTGAGTTTCATAAAGCTGTTGGCTATGTCCTTGACTGATGGACATTGCTTGTTCAAGTCAGCTATTTCAGCCTGACGTTTATTTGGGTGGACAAGGCGAACAGCCTCCAACATGCTGAAATAAACAAATAAATAATTGAAATATTACAATAAATTTGGAATTTAGAGAGTGTAAACACAGTTTACAAAGAAAATATAAGATCTAAAGGAATGTAACAAGACTCAAAGAAAGTAGTCTCATACTACTTTGAAACTGAAGTTATGGCCAGAAAGCAATGTCCAGAGGATGAGAAGCAGCACTACTCACTCCACTTCAAGTTCAGGGCCATTTCACATCATTTTCTCTTCCTGAACATATTTCATCACTGATAAAACCTTTTTTATTGATTACATGTTATTTCTCTTTTTTTCATAGAAAGAGAAACATCCAACATCATCTGATATTACAGAGCGAAAAAAGCGTGGAACGGCATGGCCAGAAAAAAAAAACACTACTTCTGTTTTCTGAACCTTAAAGCACCGTAACTTAGCACCTATACGGCCCCTTATGTGGCTTAAATCATTCTGAGATGATGATAGAGGTCCTATACTTTATACAAAACCTCTAAAACTGACCTTTAAAAGAATCAAGATATAAATCCAGATCAAATTTGGGGATTCCACTGAATATTCAATAATACAAAAGACCTTCATTCTTGTGAAATAAATGCACTTATTGGCCATGAAGCTGAATGGCCAAGAATGTGTAACAGTCAGGAATCTAACTGCATTAGCATTAGATACCTAGACTTTCTCAAAATGCATATAAAGCAAATAAGATCTAATACATGTAGCTTGCTGGTGAAATCTAATGCTAAAAGCTTTTTCAAGTAAATTGTATAATGAACATTGACAAATAATGGAGAGAACTAAATATCATTGATCTTTTTCACAGCTCTCCATCATTTAAATAAGCTTTTAAGGCCAATAAACATCTAAAAACTATCTAGCTATCAGCAAGAAATAGGATCAATTGATGTTCAGTAACAAAAACAACAAGAAGTAGAAAGTAGAGTAAGTCTGGTTTAAAAACAAAAACTGTCTAAAGGAATAATGCATCATTTAGTGTTCAAAACAACACTTTACACCATATGGCCATGCTTTTAATGAAAAATAAAAACCCTCCCTAGCAAAATTAAGGCCAATAAGATGAGAATTGCAATAATGGGTTGTGTAATTTATCTCAGTGAGCACAAACCTGAATGAACATTGATTTTGAAAACAAAACCTCCTCCAACATTACCTCAAATGGCAGAAATATCACTCAGAGCTTTAGAGGAAAAAAAAAAAAAAAAAGAAAAGAAAAAGAAAAGAAAAAAAATCAAATATGAACTTATCTGATAAATTCTTCTATTCCAAAAATAAGTTGTTGATAATTTTACACTAACAAAGCACTGGTGCCAAAAAAGACTACACATCTGTGCTATAGGTAAAAGCAATATTAGAAGTTTGCAATAGCCTGCCAACAACACTACCAGCACAGGTGTCTGTAGCAGCAAGCTAGTCAGTAAACACAATAATAAAACACATTGGTCAATAAAACTAAAAAATTGTAACTCCTTTTAATGGAATATAAAAAGACTTTAAATGTTAGTCCTGAATTATACAAAGTTATATAAACAATTTTGAGTTTAAGAACCTTGCCAGAATAAAAAAATGCTTTTTAATTCAAGAGATATTAATGTGAGTCTAGGAAAAGGAATGAAAATGAAACCGAAAACATTTTGGTCAATAAGTACGAGTCCTGAGAAGCACCATTACAAAGGATGAAAATCTCTCATACCTTTCAATTTCACTAACAACAATAATCCCCCTAAAGTGACAAAATATGGAATTTATGCTCATTGGCTTAAATATCATTTTGAAAGTTTTAATGCAGCAATGACAATATATTTCTACTTCCTTCTGTTATACCTTTTACAATATAGAAAATTCTTTTCTTTTCATTTTCTGATTGTGAGGGATATAAAATATATTTGGGGTAATCATTTCAGATAAATCATGATTAATGTGGATAAATAAAATTTGGGATTTTGATGGGTTGAAATTTATGTATTATGAACTCACTTGTTTTCTGTCTGAGACAAAGCAGATTCTGAACGTAGGCAGGCCATCCTTACAAGTGCTGTTCCATTTTTATAGCTATAACACCAGGCCTGTAATATAATGTATATATGTTATTTGATTTCATATTTCCTTCAAAAACAGGTTGGTCTGAAATCTAGTTTTAACTTATCCTAGTGTGAACTGATTTAAGAGAGGCTGTACAGAGAACTTTCAAACTCTTAGTCTTATTTCTTTTGTAGATATTGGGTAAATTAACATGAACATTAAGTATACATTTGGGTAAGGTTGAACAGGAATACAATGAATTAAGTTTAACAGGATTACTATGCAGGCTGTTTTAATTAATATAGCTATATGAATAGATTAATGATTAATCAATGATAAAAAATGGACTCACTGGAACCCTGCTGTCCAAAAAATGAGGTGCTGCCTTTAACAAGTCATTGTCATAAAGTTTGGATGACACAACAAAACACTCTGGCATGCTAGAAAATAAAAAGTTATGATCCTGATATTTTTTGCAGTAGACTTTTTACATATTGTCCAGTATGCTTACTTTTGAATCAGATAAGTTCCAGTCATTCCAGACTAAAAAAAAAAAATTCTATATATTCAGTAACAAAGTTATCATAACTATTGTAAAAATACAGACCAATTCCTGTACCCAATGAGTTACAAGTACCAGGTACACTAACAGAGAATTTTTTCTATCATTTTAATTATTAGGCAACCTTCCCTACATCCTTTTAACTAGTGCCATGCGTATTAATATTCCTTTACCTGTCTGTCATATTAAAGTGTTCATTAACCTGGGTGACCCTCCAGGCATCGGCACAGTGAAGGCGGTCCAGCTCCTTGCTCCAGTCACTCTTTATTGTAAACATGGTGGTGTGATGGGCTGCAAATACAACAAGATAGCACTGCATTATATTACCTTAAATTGCTTGTTCTTTACTACAGTTGATAAAGTTTAATTGACAGATAAGATTTTATAACATTTTGATGGTGGTTTCATTATTTACTTCTTATAAAGACTCCATAAGTCTGTATAATTTTCTCCAGCTTCTCTAACATGTATTTATCCATTAGCTATATTACACCTAGACAATGTTCTGAAAATAGTCTTGTTGGTATCTTTGAAAATAGCAGTATGTCAAAATTACATGCTTTTGCTAAAGATAATGAAAACCATTTTAACTCCCGATCTTTAACTTTTATAACCGATTTGTCTAAAGATTTACTTGGGTAAACAAATCATAGGGGATGGTGAACCTTGCTTTACAACCTTAAATATTGCAAATTTCTGACCCATGACTATTTCAACAAATCAGTATCTTAAGCATCATTCTCTTCTCCCATATGTGTGCTCCATTTGCTTTTGCACTTAAATGGAAGTAATGACAGCCAACACACCTGTGTTTTGCACATTTACCATTGCTGAGAGCTCACTAGTTATCACGAAGAAGAATCACGAAAACCTTATTAATCACTCATGCGGTGCCATCGTCTGCCTATTCTCATCTATTTAATTTCTTCCTTCGGAAATTCATAGTGGTAAATCCTGACAGGCCTCTGCTAGCACCTGTAATTGTGCCACTTACAGCTGACTGATGAAATCAATCTGTCACACCTTATTTTTACATGATATGTAATTTGCAATTAGCAGCCCATTATACAATAATACTGTGATGGTTTTTTGCTTTGTCATAAACAATAAAAGACAATGCACATTGGGAAATATCCAAATTCACCAATATTTAAAAGGTCATATTCTGATGCCACTGGGGAGATGCATGAAAATTTTGGATTCTATTTTTGACTGTATTTTAAATTGACTGCAGTTACTGAAACTGGCATTGAAATAAATAGAATCAATATTTTCTTCAGTTATTAGAATCAGTATAATAAAAATGGTTTTGAAATCAAATGTAGTTTAAAAACTTTCTTTTTTGAATTCAACTTTTCCAAGTGATCATGCCTTCACCAATTAACATATATAACGAATAAGGAGATTAAGTTTTTGCCTTTGATGGTTTGTCATATTTTAAACAGCATAAAGTTATGGAGAGATTTTGATTACATTTTCAGGATAGGCCAGAAAAGGGCTAAGTTAGGATTAATTACATTTTGGAGGCGATCCATTTATTAATTAAAATAATAAGAATCGAGCCGCTTTGCAGAAGTCTGTGAGATAAACTTTTGGAGAGATTATTAATAGTATTTTATAATCATTCCTGCTTAATGACAAACCAACCTGGACTAAATATATCCTTTGGAAACATTTACATGTTGCTTAGTCAATATGGTAATAGAATCTTTTAGATCTTGCTTAATGTGTCCACAAAACAAAGATTCTAGATCAATGGCATTATTCACAATTAGCACACCAAATGTACTGCATACTGTCAAGCTTTGGTTAAAAGTTGCTGAATTCAGTTTCATTTTGACCCAACACATACTGGATACATTTGTAAATTAAACCAATGGCATAGCATTTCATGAGTAATTGGCTTTTAACTGGTTCTAAACCAAACTAGAACCAAAATAAATCACTTTTATGCAAGTACATACAACCTTTTGTCAAAAATAAGAACTCATCAAGAATTGTATGCAGGTTATTGGTCCAATATAGTTCTGATTAATTATAAGCCTGCTCACAAAAGGTTCTGTAATTATGATGCTTACCAACCTCCTTAAAATAATACCTTAAGCTCCATAAATTCCATAACCTTTACCATGGAATTATTGACTCACTCATTTAATTAAGACACAAGATTATCCATCACTGATTTACAGAACTGCATGGATTTACTTTGAAGTTCTAACAGTTGAATGACTGATTTAAAAACCTGAAGCATAAATACTTCAACAAAATACATTTCAGAAATTTTTCTTAGTTTTAGCCATTTGTCACAGAAAGAAATGTTCTAATTAGAATAAGGGACCTGTATCCACATACATGTATTCTCATAAAACAACACTGTAAAAAAATGTTAAGTCTATTCATGTGACAACATTCTTAATCTCTGTGAGAAAAATCCAAATCAATAAAATTAATCATTCTGTAATTGTCTCATCTCCAATTATCCAAAGTGATAAACACTTCTCCACCTTCCCCAACCAATCACATGGCAGCAACTATAAATACCAAACCGCCTGCCATAAAATTGCCCAGGATGGGATCAAACCACTAATCTAACTTATGGAGCTGCACGTCAGACACTGATGCAGTTCTCGAGACAATATAGCCAGAATATTGCAGGTAAGGAAGGCTTTCTTTATCATTTTTAGTGTTTTGTGCACATCCAGTATACTTTTTTCTTAACAACAAACTGGGTCAATGACTATAAATCTGTTAATTTAGATGTGATACCTAAGAAAGGCATTAAAGCAAATTATTCCATCATTCATATGGAATGGTTTTCACTCTTGTATTATTTCTATCAAATTGTCAAATAGGTTATGCTTCAGATTCACTGCCATCAAAATTTCAAGTTTTAAGGTCTTGTTGGGTTTCATAGATATAAATAATCTTTTTCTTTTGCTTCACAAGGACTTGAAGTGATCCCAAATTTAGATTAAATGAATGCAATTTAATTGTTCCTTTTATTCATTTATTAAGTATTTTTCAAGGCAATTTTGAAAGCACTTTTGAAGGTGATATTCACCATATTATATTTGAGAATCAATCAAAGGTCCTTAAAGGCAGCTTTCACTTTTGACAAGATGAAACTTGAAACTTTCTTCTGTGAAATCTTTCAAATCACGCAACTTTCCCATATAACATTACATTTATGCACAATACAACTGCAGTGCCTAAAAAATTATACAGAGAAATGAAAATAACATATTACTGGTAATAAAGGCCTGCAAATGAAATGGGGCTGATTTAATGAAGTACAGTGCATACTTTATCTCTGATGGTGTGAACTTTCATTTATGATACACCCATCAATAAAATAATTGCCAAGTAACAAAGTGTATATATATGTTTCTGGTGTCTGTGAAATGTGTCTACTTTCATAAACATGTTTGGCACTGACTTACTCTGCTTGCCTGGTTGTCTGTTTGGATCTTGATATTCAAAGGCAAACATCAGCTCAAGTCTTGTAGGGAATGCATGGTGAAGAATGGCAGTTACAGTCTGAAAAGATATATTTGTGGAAGAAAAATGTAAGAAATATCCATTGCATTTCTCATGAAACTTGATGAAAATGGTCTACATACATTCTTAAATTTACTTAAGCATATATTTTGTAACAAAATACTGATTTGGGGTTTTCAAATGTTATTTGTGGTCAGTTATCTACAATCTTAAATGTATAAAAGATTGGCAAAACTCCAAAGACATTTTGGCAATCTTGTCACAACATTTGGAAGTGTTTAAAACTAAATATCAAATTACTGTTTAAAGTTTCACCTGTATTATATTCAAAATCAAGTAAATAGGTTATTCTGTCAATATAATGATGTGAAATATATGGTTAAAGACCTAAAATTTATGGCACTTCAACATTTCATCTGCATAAACATATCTGGCTGATTTCCACAGGGAAATATATAGGAGTGGATACATTTGATATCTTTTACAGGTCCATGTGCAAGGAGGTCAGGGGTGGGGGAACAGTGGGTTCCAAAGGACCACCCATTGATTGGTAAAGTCCACTTTGAACAATAATAAGACTGAAGTTCTATGTCCATCTTAGGTTGGGTCAACTAAGGGGGTAAAAAGGTCCTCCTTTTCAGAAAAAGAACCTTCTTTGAAATTGTTGGCTATATTCCACATTGCCTATAGACAAAAGAACCTATATATACTTGATTTAATATTAAAAGTTCCTTGAAATTCAATTACTAGTGTTAGTCAACATTTTATGTTCACATCCAAGATGTTAAAATTTCAAGTAAGAAACAAAAATTGGGAATGAGACAAGTATCTCACATAAAATCAATGGCATAACCTACATCATCTTAACAAAATTATCCCAGCAAACAGAATTTAAATTTCACCTTTTTTTCTTTTTTTAATTCTGTAATTGGTGCATGAATTTGCAAGTTTTACTTGATATTCTATTAATATGTTAAATGCTGGCAGATATGGGCAATTATTGCATGTCTCTAATAGGTTCACAGACCCAGTGAAAGATTTTTTGTTGTTTATACCAATTTGTCTTTCTCAACTGTATGCCTTGGAGGAGACTGCCAGTACACAATTTTTCCAATACCCAAAGAAAATCAATAAGATATCTTATAGTTAAAATGTGCATCCAAGCCACTTATAAAAAGCCTAATGGTTACTGCATTGTGTTTTGTGTCCATTTCAGAGAGGAAATTCTACATCTCTTAATGATTCTTGGTAAATAAATCACATTGAGCATTGAATGGGAGTTTCTAAGAAGATGACATTTTTACTGGAAACACAACCTAAAAGCTTTATGTTAAACTCCTGCTGATCTTTACACTACCTCATGCTGAAGTCAATTGCCTGTTTTACTATAAAAAGGCACTGTGGTCCCACAAGACCTGCTTGCTTCCTTTTTCTATGAGTGGCAGTGCAATTTTCCAGTACAAATAGAATCTGTTTTTTTTTTTTTATCAAATCATATTCCATATTGTGTGTAAAGTAAATGCTTTCCATTTAAGGACTCCCTAGGAGTATGCTCAATCCATGCGTATGACAAATAAGCTATGATACTGTAAAAACACAAAAGGGAGATTAATGCTGTGTCTGCATTACCATCACAAACATCACATTATGCTCAATTTATAGGTTGGCCAAGTACATCATGGCTTTATTTTTCCAAGTCATCGAAACACACACACACACACACGTGCGGGCGCGCGCCAAACGTTATTCTCTTGAACCAGTCACCAAACTATATAGTGACTAATATTCTTATTTTGTTAAATAAGGCATTTTCAAAACATAAAAAAGCATTACAGAGTATAGCAGATGATAAGGACATGACAATTAACATCCTTCAATAGCACACAAGGAAGTAATACAAATTTCCTATTTGAAAATAATGGCATGCCAAAGCATTAAATATTGATTCATCTCAATGCAACAATACAATAAAACTTATTTCATCAACATCTCACATTCAGAGGTTATTTTGAATTAATTTATATAAAAGCTTAGGGGTCAAATTCTTGCTGCAAAGCAATCCACTTAAACTGGATTATGATTAGGTTTTGGATTATTTTCCTGAATGGCCCATGTTCACTTAACATTTTCCATTTAGTATTACCTAATCCTTTCCTGCATTTATTTTGAACTGAAATCATTGTCATCTCTTTCCACTGTGAGACTGTATGGGATCTAAATTTTTCATGTTTTGTGTAACTTATAGAGATAGAGGTACAGATGCAAATTATTGGCAATGTGAGAATAATTCTGATGGCAATTTGTATTTTTAAATTACTATAATTATATTTAGATTTGCCTCCTAAGGGAAAATCATCTTTGGAATAGGAAAACATTTGCAAAACATTTTTTCATCATTAGACAAAGCTGGCCACAACATGCAAATAACTGATTCTATTTCAAAAAAAAAAAAAAAAAAAAAAAAAAAAAAAAAAAAAAA